ATTACCTTTCCCAAAATTTTAAAAACAAACAGACTATATTCATGTTCTTCTGGGAGCCCTTCCTGTTAGCTTGCTAGGGGGATGAAAAGACTAGTAAACGGTAATAAGTTCTAAAACAGGACAGTATTTAAAGGGGTTTTAGAGGGCTGTTATTTAATATCAACAATATTAAAAATATCACCGGCTATTCCCAAAACCAGTGATGGAAATCGGATGAAATTTTGTCCCAATCGATCATCGGTTTCAGTCGAATAAGACAAAATCGGTAAACTTTTCGGATTAAAAGTCGAGTTAAAAAAAATAGGGAAGTAACGTTTCCCTTCCCAAGGCACTTTGGACTACAACTATATTCAGTAACCCATGAACTTCAATTTAGCAATTTTAAACAACAGTTTTTTAACCTTATATAGTCATAATTTAAAAACGAAATAGAATTTTATTTTGCAATGGATGTCAAATAATAACATTCACACAACAATTAATATTTTTTCCTATTGTTTTAAATCTCTTATTGATCCTGTTTTCAACTTCCAAATTTGTCTCTGAGATTATTTTTTGTGATCAGCGAGGTGTTTCCTAAAAAGAAAAATTACCGTCCAGAATTATTCTCTTTGATACTTTTAAAACATCTTCGAACGACGTCACAGAACAAATTTTTTTGTGAATCGATTATTGTCGCTTTTACATAACAGTAACTAATTTCATCGGCGACTTGCGACAATCGGAACATCACTTAATCCCAACATTTCAATTTAATATTGATTTAAACAACTGAAGAATATTCAATACAATTTAAAACTTCCCTAATTCCCTGCCTTCTGCAAATTTTCTCTCTATTTAGTCTCGAACAGGGGTCATTCTTCCGCCACTCTATCTCGATACTTGAACCCCTGAATGTCTTTTAGTAATCGTTAGTAATGTGATGACTTATACAAGCATCCACAACACCATGATGAAGAAGTTTATATCATATATTCAAATGATTTCCATTCAAATAATTTCCACTGCGCTATCTATTTTCATTTTCAAAGATTGATATTTCGTTGATATTTGGCTATCGATAAATCCATACAAAATTATCCATCAATGACAGCCCTTAGATATAAATACATATGGGGGAATAGAGAATATAAAAGTGCAGTGTAAGTATTATACGGTACCTCTTTCACTACTGATCTTAGCTAGTAGTTTCTCACAATGGTGAACCAACTAAGGACAAAATTTTCGTAAGCTGATCAATATCTGTTACAAGTTAAGGTACAAACAATCTTTAATCACACACCTGTGCCGATTTTGCGACTCCCTAAAAATGGTATTGCACGGCCGTCAATATATTTTGACGTGACATCATTAGCGATATACAAACATAGTGTAAAGACGCGCTAAATGTTAGGGTTATACTATAGGCCCGTGCAATAAATTCAGTATTGAACTTACACTCATTCAATATCCTCTATTTATCTTATCTTGGGTAATTACCTCTTTTTTAGTCTGACCATGCCATAGTCAGAGCTACATATGTTGACAATTACTTTATTTCTCAAGTGTCTTTTCAACAACCTCAGTGTTGTCAGTGATTTTTGCTGGTTTCTTGTGCTGTACCACAGCAGCAACAAACACATAGTTCATTTATGATCTCTAGAACAACATTTAATAGCTTAGCAGAGGAAAACACAAAATAATTTCTGAAACCATTAGCCAGCAAGATTCTACACATACAACCAGAGCATACCAAGATTAACATTCATGTTGTCTGATCACTGTCTGCACTGTTTGCTGTTCAGTCCATACTTATTTAAAAAGTTATTTTGAATTTCTCTCTAATTTGTGGTTTTTGATTGATTTAATTCTGTGTGATTATGTTTAATTTGATCATTAAGTGCTCAAATATTATTACAAAAAAAAATTATATTTGTATGTGAAGGTACTTTTCAGTGATAAACATTTGTGACATACTGATCCTAAACATATGTATAGTCAAATACGAGATCAAAAACAGTGTAACAGTCATGCTACATGCAATTTTTAAAAAGTCGGCCATTTTTTTTAATGGTTGTCACCTTTCTTATGAAATCATGACACACATATTTCTTTTTTCAGTTTTTAATGTTTATCACTTTGTTCAAGGGAATAAGCAATATGGTAAAATGGTCAATTTTGATTCCTTAATATTTCATTAAATTTGTCAATAATGATAAAACATTAAAAACAAAATTAATGTTGGCAAAAAATTGACAAATGAAAGTTTTCTTACAAGACATTACCTTGATAAATTAAGAAGCATGATCAAAATAAAATCAATATTTTCATAATTAATTTACAAGACTATATCAATGAAGCACAATGCTATCTGTTTGTTATGTTACAAATAAGGGGAGGTAAAATCAGTAAAGGGATGGACTTGAAAGTAACTTTGACATTAGTCAGTAATGTAATATGCAAGCTTATTGAAGGTTATTCAAATATTAAAACGGATAGAGACCTACTAAGTTATTATATATTGGGTGTGAATATACATTTATGAGATATAACAAGATTGCAGGTTATCTATACAATAACACTTCATTATTGATACAATGTTCTATTTTAAATTTAATAGAAATATTTAAAAAAATGTAGAAAAATAAAACCTTTTACTAAACATTGTTTTACCAGGATCATACTGTAAGATATTAGAATAATGAGAAGAAAGCTCACTAATAAACACTGAAATATCTTTTGCTTTGAAGGGAGTCGCCGTTATATCAATATTACAAAAGTTATGTCCTCTCTTTCAAACACCCTAAACGATCAGAACAAAAAATTCGAATAAACTTTATTTCTATCTTAAATCTTCTAAACTAAACATCTACACATGCAGATAATAAATTATAGATAAGTCAGAAAGCATTTCTATAGCCGCTAAAATCAGAAAATGGCACTCTATATCAAAAGTTTAGAAAAATACAGACAGTTTTAATTTTCTAGGACACTAATTCAAAGGCAACAGAAGTAAGAAGCTACCTTATAATACCCCCTGAACAAAAATAGTTGAAAAAAAGGTTCACAAATTCAGTAGATGAGTCCATTTCCAGATACTACAATCTTTACTTCTAGCTTTAATTGTGAAGGTAACAATAATTCTTTAACTTTAACTTATTCAGTACTTGTTACAAAGATCTTAATACTTATTCACTACTCTTTGCACATGATTGTAACTTGTGGACTAAAACATCTGCTGCAAAAATTACTACATCATGCCATATGCTTGAAATTAAAACATTTGTTTTGGTTTAACTAGAACAAATAAAACAGTAAAAGCTTTTTAATTGATATTAATTAAGCAATTTTTGGAAGTATTAATTTTGTACACAAGGAGCTGAGTTAGATCTAGTTGTGGTTTATGTGAGATATATTATTGTGTGGTAAGGAAGATGCTGACAGACATGTATATGTACTACAAGATTTACCTCAGTACTACTGATCTTGTCTAAGAGATTGTCAGATGGTGTGCCCACCAGTGATAGTATCCTAGTTAACTGATCTATGTCTTCACAGCATTAAGGAAATTGTTCAAATACCAATTAATCTATTTTCTTCCCTGTATAAGCTACTTTAAGTACTTATTTACATTATAAAGATATGCAGTACCAACTTGTTTTGAAATACATCACACAATAAAGTCCAAAATAATGAGGAAACCAAAAAGCCAATAGAGGAAGTATAACAAGTATTTGGAAGTTTTTTTTTCTAAAAAAAAAAAATGAATCACGATGCATTCTAAAATCTACGTGTGTATTATTCAAATCTTCTATTTCTTCATTAAAATTACTAAATGCAATTATCATAGTTGCAAGCAATCCATAAGTCCCCTAACCGGTTAGAACCCCAGCAACATTCTGATGGGCCATTGGCCATTCAATTTTTACCAGTGAATGAATGACATGAATGAACTTAAATCTTTTTTGAGTTCTAAGTTTGTCTATATCAACAGTAATGTGTTATGTTTCCCTGCCTAAGTAAGGAAATTATGTTTATACAACCTTGTTCATTTATTACCATGTGGGATTTTAAAGTAAATCCTATAAGGAATGAAGAAGTTGGAGTAAAAAAAAAACCAATTCTCGAAAAAAAAAATCTAAGTACAACGGGGACATAATTCTGGAAATAGTCTTGCTAGAGTATTTAACCTTCTCAAAAAAATGTTGAGTGATAATAAGAAACATATATATGAAGTTTGAAGTAGATACATTAGGAAATAAAGAAGTTATTTAAAAAAGACAACTTTTTTTTCATAAAAAATTCTAAGTTCAAGGGAGGTAATACTGATAATTTTTTTTGTGCCAGAAGTTGTAAACCTTGTCAACAAATGATGTGGGTTGATGACCAGAAACTACTGTTTATTTAAAGTTTGAAGTAAACACCTTAAGAAATAAAGAACTTATAGTGAAAAAGCTGAAAAATTTAAATCAGAAATCTTGAAATTCAGGCTATTTGTTGCCATAGCAACCAGAATTTTCAACATAGGAAGAAAAAGAAAAGGATGTGCATAATCTCCATACTGCCATCTATCCATATATCAAGTTTCATAAAAATATTTTTAGTACTTTTTGCGTTATCACGGGATCCAGTTTTGTGGACGGACAGACTGACGGACAGACAGACGGACGGTAAACCTAAAGTCCCCTCCGGTTAAACCGGTAGGGGACTAAAAACTAATTATCTAAATTCTTCAACAGGTAATCTTTATACTGTACTAAATTTTAAATATTTGATTTTCAAACTGATCCGTATGTTAAAAAACCTTGTGACATTTCATGAAATTCTAAAATCATATGCATATATATCAATGCGTGTATGACTATAATAAGTTTAAAATATAGTGTGTATAATAGGATACGATCTGTGCCAGGAAACAATGGTCTACCAGTCAACATCTCTGCCATTATACAACCCACTGACCATACATCAACTAAAAATATACAATACATATGTCCATTTCTCCCCAGTGTCATTTACAGACATAAAATGTGTTAGATAAAAATTCTACGTCCATGTATATAACCATCTGTTTACATTAACAGAACAATTCAATATTGCAGTATCTCTGTGTTATATAACAATTCTGAATATTCTCCATACATAACTTTCTCTTGACATATTCAAAATGATTGCATTTTACAAGAACTTTCCCAATTCAGGTGAACTTTACTACATGCCACTATAAATATATAAAAATATTAGGTTCTGTGGTAGAACAATGCCTTACTAAAAAACTTCAATGAAATAATTGTGATTAGTCTGAAACAGCCAGACAGACTATATCATTAAATAAGATGAACTAGAAGATACCTGTTTGATTATAATGCATCCAATTGAGCATTAATTTCTGGTGCTCGATACCAACGTGTAGCCACATACCCTGTCATCTGATCGTCTGTGTGAACGTGCCAGCCCAAAATCCAATATCTGTCCAACAAACATGTCATATTTGCATATTCTTAATAATATATATTTAAGACAATGAGGATATTTGTTCGTTTGAGTGAAATATGGAAAAATGTTTTCACGAAATATGAGCATGTGATTTCATTTATTTTTCATGAGTCAAATCAGCGAGTGAAATATATTCCATATTTCTCGAAAACAAAAAAACAACATCTAATTGTACCTTTGAGGAAAAAAATTCTTTACAAATACACGTATTTGCTACGCAGTTGCAATTGTACAGCATGCGGTAACACATTGGTTGAATATATGGTGTCATCCATGTTATGCGGTTTGAATTCAATACACAATTTATCACAGCCATCTTTAACCATATTGAAAACCATAAGCAGATAATTTCTGATGATGAAATGAATAGCTCAAGCCATTGATGGCAACAGAGAAACTTCAGAGGAAGTAGTCCCAAAATAAATACAAGTTCCCCGCTTTCATATTTATTTTTCATATTTGTTTTTTTCTCTCACAAATATGTTATATATTTTGCTGATATAGCACTTTATTTCATGAGTAAAATTAAATATTTGATAATATTCAATTTTATCACTTTTATTCAACATATATGCAGCATTTTTGATTGTGTTACCTGATGCAATTAACAAGTGACAGTGTTTAGTTTTTCATTAAAAACAACAAAGAATGTTGTGTAATTACCAATTATAATGTAAAGTAAATGTTGTCTGCCTCATACCATTTGTGTAAAAAAAGTCAATATTAACTTTACTTACAAGGACATATATTTTGACTGAAAACAACTAATCTATGTCACTATAAGCAAGATCATTACCTTTAATTCACAATCTTCATTCACAGCTATATTGGCTTGGTTTTAAAATCCTGAAAGTAAAAAGTTACTTATATCATAACAAATAGCCCGCTTTAATATGATAACAATTGTCTCTAATAGTCAGACCTGTAAAACCAACCATGATTTGATGCTTTTCACATTATTTTACTGCTATATACTACGCTTTTATTATAGATGTCTCAAGTTTCAAAAATGTAAAAATTCCTCTGGCCCTTGATCTACTTATCCATCAGACTGAAAACAATTTATACAACTTCTTGAGTGGACCACCTAAAAATAATTCCTGTGGTGCATGGTCAAAATCCATCTTTTTTGGTCAACCACTGTTTTATGTAACAAATGTGAAGAGAGCAAACTGGATCCAATTATGCAGAAGGAAAAAATTTAATTATTGTTGCTATAAGGCAGAGTTGAATAAACCCTGAGAAAGTAAGAAATATCAAAACATGTTGAGGAGCATAATTTTGCAAAGTACAATATCTTCAATCTTGTTTTCTTGACTTCTTTTCTATACATTTAAGTTCAAAAAATTAGTAAATGCTTACCCTGTGTAATAATTTTCCTGCTGAATGGATATACTGAAATAAAAAAAAAACTTTTGTTAACTTATCATACATAATGTAAAGCATCGTTTCATATTGTAAGAATTGAATTAATAATATTTTATGATGACGTGTTTAATCAGTGTATAAATCTTGTAATAATGACATCAACAAATAAATGCTGCCACACCTTATAACAAGCTTAATTGGGCCCGATTTGTTTCCAAACTTATCTTTAGTGTGTTGCATTTTTTATGGTTACTTCACCTACATTTTGTATCTAAATATAGAACATCAACAGTGATTTTATTGCATAATAACACATGCTTTGGATCCTTAGAGAAAAAATGCGGGTCATGTTTGAATGTTGCATTTTGTTCTTTATGGCATTTTTCTCTAATTCAAATGTCATCATTTAAAAAACAAAATTAATTAAAATGACACTGCTATATGGACTTTACACTTGGATTTTTTCCTCAATAACATTCACATAGCAATTGAAGGTATGATATCACCTTATTTATGTGTGCCTTATTTCTGGTGCCTCTCTGAAAAATGTATAAAGTTCCGGGGTTTTCTTATGAACTTGATCAATGCCAAATCAATTTGCATAATTTCAAATTTTTTATACAAGTTTCTGGCTATTGCCTCGGGTTATATTTATCTAATTAAGGCTCTATTCTCTCATATATCACCTCAGCAACTTTTATAACAACTTTTAATGTATTTCTTTCATACAGGTTTTTTGAATAATTCTTATTCAAAATTCAAACAATAATCACAGGCATCAGTTTTATATTGCTTTATACACTTAAAGCATTTTTCATAGATTAACTGTACAAAACAATATTGAATTTACCTTCATTGCTCGCAGCACTTGATAAATAAGAAATTGAACATGATCATCGCTAAGTCTCTGTGTTTTTATAATATTGTTCATATCTGCACCCATTAAAGCTGTCACCATGTACCTGAAAACATAGAAGCAATATTTTAATAGTAAGTTTAGGAACACACAACACTATTTCTCATATTCAAGCTAATAAAGAACCAAAATAGTATGTTTTTCTATGGACATATATAACATATATATGCAGGGTTGTCATTAACATTTTTTGCAGAAGGTTTGTTTTGAATTTGAGGCGGTCATTTCTGTCTTTATCATGCATAACAAAGAGTGTTTTCTTAGTTTTGAGGCGGCCCATAATGCATTTGAGACAGGCATTTTGGCCTCCTGCCGCCTCTTAATGACAACCCTGTATATGAATTAAAAATAGTTCACAAATACACACAAATCTCAATTTTATAAAGTAATGATGACTCAAAATTGCCCCATCTGAGATTCCACTGTTTCGAACAAAGTCGCAATCCTTCAAATTTGAAAATAGATCTGTGACTCATTCATGTTTAGAAGAATCCTACAGGCAATGCTACATACCAAATATCTGAGCTATAGGTTGAGCAGTTTCAGACAAGATTTAAAATTTATTTTTCCATTAGTTTCCAGTCTACGTACATGAAAACCAAGTGACCCGTAGGAAAATTCTATAAAAATTATGCAGTATCCTATATACATGTATTATGATTTATATCAAGCTTTTATTTCTTTTTAATTTCTTTTTCAAAAAAAAAAAGGTGTTTTTTTTCCTCCCCACTTCTCAATGTTGATGAAAATAAGATACATGCAAAAATCCTAAGCCTTGTTGATTCTGAGCAAAAGATGTTTTATTTCAGTTTCCTGAATAACTGATTAACTCAAGTGCCCATGGGTCAAAGTCATTTTTGATCCAAGGGCAAAGGTTCGTGTAATTTATTATTTAGTAGACAGTGCCACATACCAAGTATTTACACCCTAGGCCTTAAGCACACACAAGCAGATTTTTTTCTATACCTGTCTGAGTAAAAATAGTGACTGAAACCTAGTGCCGGATCAATTTTGGCTATTAAGACAAGGTTTATTTAACTCTTGAAGGTGATGCTACATGCAAAGTTTGCAAGTTCTATGTATTGCAGTTTTGGAGAAGAATTTTAATGTGTGTTCCTTATACAAGTCATTGTAACAATCAACCTTAGATTGAAATCATTGATATAACATTTGTAGAGGGCCACCCAAAAATATTCCAATGAAAATATTATTAAGTCAAAATTGATTCAGGAGACATTGTGAATTGTGGATAACAAGAAACGTATCATGGCAGACAGCATGCTATTACAAAACCTGACCTCTGGACACTATGTACTCAGGTGTGCTCTTTACAAGTACATTATTAAACTACTTGTTTAACTATTATGTATATCATACTAAGCAGAAGAGACTAACTTACACTTCATCAAAATCTTCAAAAGTCTCTGTTGGCGTGAAAACATCTAGCAATCCAATAACCTTGAATACAAAAAAAAAAATATAGAAAATTACTGGCTGAACATAGACCTTAAACTTTTGTCTTGATTAAGAAGTAGAGGACCTAAAATGTGAGTTATCCATCTCATGTTAATGGGATAAAGTTAAGTTGATCAAAAGATTCTAAGCAGAAACAACACTGCCAGTTGTAACATTCAACATTGGGCATATAGCTAGACCTTAAAGTTAGGCACTTCAAATTAGGTTTCTGCAAATCAAACAGATAACAAATATCCTTCATGAGGTTCAAAATATATGACAGAATAAAGAAGAAATTCTTAAAATGTATGTACAAGTTGTATTTTTTGAATTTTATATAAGAAGAAAAATTTATAAACACTGCCACCCCATTATGTCACACTAACTTAATTAAAACACTTATGAGGAGGGGGGGTTGGCTTCACAGAATATATTCAGTTACTCATTAATGATTAATGATTATAAAGTACCGAAAAGATACTCACATTTTCATGCTGGATACTCACATTTTCATGCTGCATATGTTTTAACATACGTAGTTCTCTGTATGTACGTTTTGCATGTATTGCAGATTGAAAGGGCCTTGACAACTTCTTTATAGCTACTTTATGGTTTGTCTTTTTGTCCACAGCAGAACTGTAAATGTATTATAAAAACATTTATATATCTAGTAAGTAAAGCATGAATGTTATGTTATGACATTTCTATGCTCTAATGGAAAAGACAACAATTTGAAATTTGAATCCCTTTAGCTACAAAAATGATAAGAGCAAAAGGTAGATCAAGTTTTTAAAGTAAAATTATAAGTTTATACAGGAAATTTTTACAAATTCAAAATTGGCTCCAAACTTCGAAGAATGGAACCAATATAATACGAATGGCTCCAACTATAGCCAGACTGCCTGGTGCTCATCTTATACGACACAGCTGGGGGCCAATTTTAATTTGTCAAAAGATTTTGTATATGGAGTAAATTAGAGCTAATTTTGATTTTTTTTTTTTCAAATCGGCTTATGTTAAGTTTTTTTTATATTTATGATATATGATAAGTACATGTGCTGGGATCATTGACAAATATGCATTTTATTTGGATTTTAGAGGCGTTTTAAGCTCCATACCCCTAGTGTCTGTGGTGGCATTCAGACGATTTGGCGTATTTTTACCCTTTGTCTATATATTATCTATACAGATTATATTTTGTTCTAGACTATCCCAACACTGTGCCAAGTCCCTGTGGTTGTACTCAGTAAGTTTATAACAAAGCATTCTCATCTTTCCTTTAGCTGATTAACGATTCAAATTGACATGCAACATGAAGGCACCTTGTTCAATTATTTAATCTTTCACTTATTTTTACAAAAAAATAAAAATCTGACAAGTAGACTTACCATACTTGTCCGTATGCGCCAGACCCTACTGGGCTGAGAAACTGGTAACGATTTGGAACCTCCCAAACAGTTTTGTTTAGTTCTACACGGTAAAACCCGTCCTTTAAATGTTGCCTACCGGCCATTTAGTCGTGAATTGTATACGCACAACACAATGACAGTTCAATGTTGCAGCAACACAGAGTAAAGTTGGTTTAAGTTTTAACTTAATTTTTGTTTCGCCTTTCCTTAAACTTCCGGATTTTGTTCAAGACGAACGGACAGATGTGGACTGGGTATTAATACTTTGTTTTATAACACCCTCTCGTTCTATCAAAATACACACCAGTCCAACAGGCTCTCTTGAAACACAGCAAATATAGAATAATACCACAAAGAATAGTAAAGACACAAAAAGTCTAGAAATATAGCTCTCATCCTTCTTATTTTTAGAGTTGGTATATTAACTTTTTTCAACATATCTTCATAAGTAGAATTAAAATCATGATAGACAAACCTAAGAGATCTTTCCTGCAGTTTTCCATCTTTTTAGTATTATTTTCTGAACAAAAATGCCATGACATAGGACAAAATTAAAGTTAGACAATATAAAAGAATGAAAGACTGTTAACCTATTTGTTTGGTCTAAGTTGTGGCCGATTCTTTTGAGGATGTTTAACTGATGAGCATTTTTTTTACATATATTGCTTATATGAAAATTAAAATTTAAATATTATACTTCATTTGCATACTCCATTCTATATTTAATATGACGTCATCCAGTCCATAAATCGCATAAAGACCGGTGTAACGTTGTAAAGTGACCCCATAAAATAATGAACCCCGGTCAATATTTTATATAAAATAAAACCCCCCTTGCGGTCATAATATTATGACTCCCCTACACGTTGAAAAATGACCATAATGTTCATAGAACAATGACCTCCGGTAGAATAACGACCCCAATTTATAAAGGACTCTTTCAAAGAAAAACTGTCAATATAATTATCCTCAGATGAGAAATATGGTAATGTCACTTGTCAGTGCGTGTGTCCGTGCAACCTTTTCCCTACTATTGGACGGAATTGTTTCTAGCTACTAAAATCGAAGCCTAGCCTCAGTGTGCATTTTCTACAAATGACAATTAACGGCTAGGGATATGTCATTCGACTGCAATCCTTATTTGTTCTTATTAGCTCGACTGTACGAAGTTTATTGACAGTTGCTCTGCGTCCAGATTTAAGATTAAAGTTTTGGTGCAGTAAATTATTTTTCACTATAACTTTTTCATTTCTTAAAGTATCAACTTCAAACTACAAATATATGTTCCTTTTATCATCAACCACATCTTACGTGACAAGGTTCATCATAACTCTAGTACCAATATTTTCAGATTTATCTCCCCTTGAACTTAGAATTTTCCTTAAAATATATTATTTTTAATGTTGCTTCTTTATTTCTTAAGGGATCAATTTCATACTTCAAATATATGTTCCTTGTCATTAACCACATCTTATGTAACCACGGATTTACATAACTCCGTGATGTAACAATGTTTATATAACTCTAGCACCTATATTGCAAGAATTATTTCCCCATGAATTTTAATATTCTATTTATCACACACCCAAAATAAAGACCGCTTAAAGTGAAAAAATAGTATTTTTTTTACTGATACGCGTATACTGTAATGCTAACATTTAGCGCGTCTTAAGGTAGTACACCCCTAATGGGCACTATAAGGAATTGTAAATTTGACAACATAGGACACTTATATGCCTTAAATGTCACCTGTATGCAAAATTTAAACAAAATTTACCGTGTGGTTAATGAGTTACGGACATTTTTATGAACTAAAACTTTGCCATTAGAAGGGATTTTTTTCAGACATGAGGAAACTCTAAATAATCTATAATATCATCATTATGAAAAATGTAATCCTTTTGCTCATTGTTAAGAAATAAATATTGACATTTAGGTAACAAATTAAACAAGCAGAATTATTGTTTTTAAACGAAATGTTTTTAATATGTATAAAAATGTAACCCTACCACCCACTTTTAACACTAATTTGACCATTTCCCTATATAAAAAGCCTTATTTAAAATATCCCTAAAATTTTCCAAAATGAGGGGCTATTTTCAAAGTTTGCCTAAATTTTCTTTAATGTATATTGGTTGGTCTTGCAAAATATAAAATACTTTTACCGTTTAGTTTTTATTTTATTAAACTTTGAAAATATCTGGTATCATATTTGCTATTAAATTTTGCATTATTTAGTAAATAAATACCTACAATAATTATATAATTAAAATAAAACACTTTTTTCTTCCATAGGGGGTCTGAGAGATTAATAAAAAATGTTAAAAAGAAAAAAAAGAAAGAAAAAAATTGCCTCTTCTGGGGTTTGAACCCACGCCCCCTCAGTTACAATACACTTTACAGTGATTTTAGCCTATTTGAATACTCTTCAAAGTGGAGACATTGCATTAGGGGTGTACTACCTTAACACGTACTATATGTTTGTATAACGCCAAGTCGTGCAATACCATATTTACGGAGTCGCAAAATCGGCACGGGTGTATGATAAATATTTCTTATAATTACCCGCATGTTGTGTGACAAGGTTTATGACTCTAGCGTGGCTATTTCCAGAATTATTGAATTTATATTAACAAATGTTATTTTTTTACTATAACTTCTTGTTATATGGATAAGAGTTATAAAACGCAAGCTCCTGCATTCCTAGAATTATCTCCATGCCATTTTTTAAACTAAGAATTCATTTGTAAATTGAGTTTTTAGTATTATCTTCTTTATTATAAATGTTATTTACTCTAGACTTAAGATAATTAATTGTTTTTTGTCATTACTCACATCATGCATGACTCATAACTCTAGCATCTTTTTAAAGAGCTATTTCCTTTTTGAACTTATATTTTTACTTTAAAATATTCAAAGTCTTTTTGCTCTTATCAACTTTTTGAAGGGATTGACTTCACATTTCAAATTGCTGTCTTTTCCATTAAAGTTTAATTTCCATTAAAGTTTAACATTTATTTTCAAGATCATATGCATATTATGTTGTGCAAAAATATAGAACATTTGAGTGCTTTCTTGATACTGATACAGAGGGATATTTCTATCATAATTGATTTTTCTTTCATAATGTTGTGTATAAAAGGTAGGAGGCAGTCACTTGTGATGCTTGTGACAGATGGCAACATAGGAAGTGTAATACCGGTGAGTTACTTTAATTGACAAAACTTATCAGGAGTTTAAGTTTAATTATTAACATACTTGAAAACATATTTGAAAAATTATTTTCTTGTTCCTTTTTTTTTCTACAAGTACTGTTTGATATGCAGGCTTCATAACCTCAGATCCCCTTTCAAAATTCCATTTTATTTAGTTCCGCCCATTGTTTTCTCGTTTAGGGCAAAAGCATTTTTTTACTTGGGGACCATACGCCGCTTTTCATGGAATGGCACTACTGTGTCACATTGAAGGTTCCATGATAACCGCCGTATGAACACATCTGCGGATGTTTCTAAATTCAAAATTTCACCATTTTCGTGTTAAATGTTGAATTCTGCTTAAGCCGGTGCTAGGGGGCGTGGACGGTAACTTGCACTTTCCAGTACCGTCCATGAACAAGCTCAATCAAACCGAGCCTGCAACATTTTCAATTTTGTTGTGTTGGGACTTTCTTTAGGGATTCTGTTTTTCTCTATGTTATTTGTGCCGTGTGGCGGCTGTAAAAAGTCTCCCCGTACATTTAATCAATGATGTTATATTTCCGATCCTTGAAGATCGTTCAGCACAACATTATTGTTGTGTATACATGTTATGTGGTACTTTTAATTTACTTTTCTTCTATTTGGCCATTTTCAACTTGGGTGGTTCCAGTATTCCTACTTGAATACTGTATAATCACCCTTACGATATGTTGCCTGCTTTTTAAATTATCTGTGATATATATATATCTCATAACCTCAGATCCCCTTTCAAAATTCCATTTTATTTAGTTCCGCCCATTGTTTTCTGCTAGGGGGCGTGGACGGTAACTTGCACGTTCCAGTACCGTCCATGAACAGGCTCAATCAAACCGAGCCTGCAACATTTTCAATTTTGTTGTGTTGGGACTTTCTTTAGGGATTCTGTTTTTTCTCTATCTTAAACAGTAATTGATCAGGTAATAAAACAGTTATTGCAAACGTGATTTGGGAACACTCAACCAGTTGCCTACGGCCTTGGGCAACAGTTCAAAACACTATCCCCTCCACCCCAGGCCAAAACCACATATGAAATAACTGTTTATTATAGTAGAATTCAATTAATTGATATTTCTACATGTGTATTTTCTACATTGTATTAATTTGCATAATATTGATGTTTGTACTATTCTTTGCACATGTTTTGTTTAAAATAATAAATAGAGGCCATACCTTATAGTATGGTATTGCCATTAAACACCATTTGATAGTTTGTTATTTCCCACGTGGCTAGATAATGCTAATATGCCCACTTAATGAGAAAGCAGGGAAAAACTTGGAAATATCAACAACAGCATCAACCGAAGTCTGTATGGCTCTATTTCATAAAAGATGCGTTATGTTACCGCAATTCAAAGAAAAGTGTATTAATTAAGGTATTTTGCTAGAACCGACATTATAATGATCAAAAAATAAAGAAATATATTGCACTGATGTTTTGTATTCATAAACAGGGACAACTTTCCTTTATTTTTATTAGCAAATGGCTTTTTTGTACAATGAATGACACATTTAAAAAGGCTTATTTTCTTAGGGCTTTAATTGTGAAAACAACATTCGAGAGCCCTTAACATAGATATTAAAGTAAAATGACTTGTAAGGCGAAATGTCATTACATGTATTTATGACGGACGTTAAATAGGTTTGAAAGTTCGTGATTCTTTTAAGTTTAGAGAAGTACCATTAACGATTTAATTGGCCGATGGAAAACTACAAACGACTAAAGCAGGTTGTTTTTGTTTTTTTTTGTCACATTGTTTGATTATATCATCCAGCTTATAAGAACAGTATTTAAATTTCGAACTTGCTTTTAAGTGCATTATTTATCTGAGTTTATATCAGAATCATTTTGAATAGCATGTATTAATTTCCTCTTTTTTAACAATATTGATTCACTTTTTTGGCTTGATAATTAAAGTCACTGCTTGTCGTTTGGATGCGCATATCGATCATTTCACTCGGTCTACGCACTCGTGATATAATTCCTCGCATTCGGACTCTAAACAATGATATTATTTAGCGATAAAATCATTGTTGGGGATATATTTTAGAAATAAGGTATATCACAAACAGTGATTTTATCGCTCAATATCGCAAAATCACTGCTTGGAGTGTGGATGCGAGGAATTTTATTACGAAGACGTAGCCCGGTTGATACAATGATGCGCAACCGAACGACAGTCATTTTATCAAGCGATAAACTCACCGATTTGGATATATTATTTCGATTTAGTTTAAACATATTTTATTGCATTAAATACATGTTTACAAACATATTATACAAATAATGAGTATACATGTATATCAAAATGCAAATGGGTTAGGCAACAAGTTCTTACAACATTAGATTGTAAGCCCTTCCCAGAAATTAAAATTACAGAAGAAAATACTATCAAGGCAACAATGATAACTTTTAACAGGCATATAAACTTTAAAATATGTATTTGACTTTAACAGTTCATTTATTCATTAAAATTTAATGTACACTTTTGATTTTGATGTGCGATCCAATGATCCATCCACTGGTTGCCATCCTGATCTCACTTTTGTGTAGTTTGGTTTTTGGGGAATATTGGTACATTACAGTAAGGTAGATTATCTAGAGCAAATAAGCCCATATAAATTAAGGTAGATTACAGCAAAGAAGCCAATATATAATTAAATGACAAATTTTAGAATAAAAACAAAATGAAAAGTAAAATGTTATTAAAAAGAAAAATATGTTTCACTTAGTGAAAAATAATTTTTTACAGTGAAAATACGGACAATTAAAATACGCATTTTATTTCAATAATATTTCACTCATAAGTATATAGTAAATGCATGTATTTATAATACTGCAAGGTTTTAATGTCGCTATTTATAATACTGCACGACTGTAACGTCGCTATTTATAATACTGTACGTTTGTGATGTCACTATTTGAGCTGTGTCATGACAAAACCAACATAGTGTGTTTGCGACCAGCATGGATCCAGACCAGTCTGCTCATCCGCGCAGTCTGATCAGGATCCATGCTGGTCGCAAACCTACTATGTTGGTTTTGTCATGACACGGCTCATTTATAATACTGCACGTACGTTTAATTGTGGTGTCGGTATTTATAATACTGCACGTTTGTAATGTCGGTATTTATAATACTGCACGTTTGTAACGTAACTATTTATAATACTGCACGTTTGAAACGTTGCTATTTATAATATTGCACGTACGTTTAATTGTGGTGTCGGTATTTATAATACTGCACGTTTGTAATGTCGGTATTTATAATACTGCACGTTTGTAACGTCGCTATTTATAATACTACACGTTTGTAACGTCGCTTTACATTGGATATTCATTACGTTTATATAGTTTTATTATTTGTTTTGGTCGTCAGACCAAACAAATAATGGTACCGAAATTTCAGAGTCTAATGCTGTTAATTGCAAATGCCTAAAGTAGTCCACTTTTTTGAAGCGGCTACTTCCCTTTATATGTACACTAACGCCGAAAAATTCAGGAGAGATCAATGTGTAACGATTGTCAAATGACAGGCGCATTAATTTTCAAGCAAAGTAGTTCCTGAATTGTCGAAGATTTCTAATATTGTTTCATTCTTTATAGATATACATGCTTACAGTAAGCTCCATGATTATTAACATCTGTGTTAAACATCTACAAACCCTAATATCTACAAACCCTAATTTAGAATAATATGGTTTTCTTATAACTTCACCGTGGCCGAGGGGTTTGCAGGCTCGCTTATGAATCGAGAGGTCTGGAGTTCAAATCCCATTTGAGGCAACTCATTTTTTTTTTTAAGTCAAATAAACATTGAATTGACCAATATCAGTGTTGCAATTAGTCTTATAGCCAATTTACTACAGTTAAAACACTGGAAAGCATTGATGGCACTTTACAAAAACAAATTGGTTTATAATCTCACAACCTTCACCTTTCTGACATTCTGAGATCCAAACAAATCCAGCGCCTTCTATGCTTTGATCTACAATGCTGTTGTCAGTTTATTAAGAAATCACATTTTCTCCATAAAAAAAGAGGTTTGCTGTATTATTGTTAAGTCCAAACTTCGAGATCAGTTCATCCAAAGATGGAAGATTGAAGTCCAATCTGTAAGCAAATGTTATATAAATCAGACTCTGTATTCGAAGACAATTTTAACATACTAGTACCTTCGGCAACTGTCTTCAGCTTTGTTAAAATTTTGATGAATCATAAAATGCCAATTGTGAAAGGTAGATTTCTAAATAAAGAGAGAAACTTACGTATATGTACTTTATGTGAGTCAAACATATGTGACGAATTTTACTATTTTTTTCAATGTTCACAATTTGTTAATAAATTTAATAAATTTATTAAACCGTATTATTATAGGTATCCTAATGCATTGAAATTTGAAAATCTTATGAATAGTAAAAACACATCACATTAAAAAAACCTTGCTTTGTTTTGTAAAAAATAATTACAACATGCAAATAATAAAGTATAATATTGTATCATAAGTAAATTTTGCCAAAGCATTTTTGGACATATCTACATCTAGAATAACATTTAAAAGAACATTGAATATTTCACTTGAAAGTTGTCCAATAGTTACTGACAATTTTATACTTTGACATATATATAGCAGCGTAGTAGATAAAGAAGAATCTCTCTTACTCAATTTTGCAATTCTCTTTAGTCTATCCACAAATATAAATCGGAATAATCCCACAACATATTAAATGGTTGTGTTGACATTTGCGCGAGCTCTTTCACATTTTCGACGGCGCAAGCACCATATCATTTCAATAAAACATGTTAGGCCGAGTGCTGAATGGGTAAATTTCTTTTCTGAACACATATATTATTTTTATGAGCATTTAATGAGTAGGTGAAAAAAGAGATTTATCATTTTGTTAAATATATTTTATTTATCTATTTCTGTATATAAATACATTCCTTGTTAACAAATATTTACAATATTAACAATTTGTCACATTATCACCATAGAGCCTGAACATATCAGTGAAAATAACAACTATAAACATTATAAGACAGAAAAAAAATTGTGAAAAAAATGCTATGCCACTGCATTAATATAACAGAAGTACAGTAGATTTTTTGTTTCTATACACTTGTTATAAAAAATTTGAATACCATGTATAAAAGACATTCAAATATAAATTGTTTCCCTTCAGACATGAGGATTTTTTTATGTTTTTACATTCTGTACATAATGAAAATCAAAGACCCCACCCCCCTGGGTATGGCCAATTTTGATCCCAGGGCTAAGCCTATGATTTGAACAATCTCGGAGTAGGTCTACTTCACAATTATTCCATGCCAAATATCTTACCTCTAGCCTTTGTCAACTCAAAGAAGAAGATTTTACTAAATATATATAAGGAAAACCAATGACCCACTGGGAGGACCTACAGATAATATTACATGTATATACCAAATATAAAAGCTCTATCTGGTGTGATTTCAATACAAGAGCTCTACTGAAGCAGGACAATATACTGTATGCCCAATGGCAAATTTACGAGCATAGACATAGTGTAAAGACAAAAATACATTTAAATGATAGACAGCAAATTTACTACATTTGTAGACATTGTAAATAACACAGATGATGTGTATTAAATTTAAAATATCTACAGTACATTGTACTGAAATGTTATCCTTACATATAATCTTTCAAAAAGCACAAAAAATACAGTAGTTTGTATCATTATTTTTAAAATATTTAGAGATAAAAGATAATTTATCTAACTTGATTTCATTTTCTCTGAACAAAAAATTAAACAAAAACACTAAAACTGTTCCAAGATCAAGATCAATTATTTCAAAAATTGCCTTCAAAGGACATAATTAGTAGTTATAATCTTTCAAAAGGCACATGTACTGCAAAAACCTAGGCAAGCAATAATTTCACAGAAAATTTTGCATTATTAGGGGCATTAACTCTACTGTTGACTGTGTAGAAAATAGAACTTCATTTAAGATATTATACAACATTATCATTGACATACCAAATACAAGCAGAATCCTTCAAAAGTTGTCATGTAGAAACAAGAATTTAACAAAATCAACATAAACACATTCATTGAAATCCTTTAAAGCTCCATGCCTCTAGATAAGTCAAAACATCTCAATAAAATCAAACTTGAGAAAAATGTACTAGAATTTTAGGAAATATTTTACATTTTATGTGTGATTAATGACAACTATACAACTTTATTTCTACTGCGTTACTTACACAGTAAGGGCTAGTCATGTATATTTTGACCACTTTTTGATGATTAACGCGGGTTGTAAGCGCCACTGATAATGTGTATATTACTTCCTTTTGGTTACTTCACAATATTATACATTCAAATACATTTTCAAAAATTTCATGAAAATTAGAATGAATCTGGAGGCATGCTGTTTTAATTTACAATGTATCTGGAGGCATGCTGTTTTAAGTTATCCAAATTCCAATATTGCAATTGTTTACAAACAGACAGACAACGTGACTGATGACAACACAATACTGTTATAATACAATTTAACAAATGTGTGTCCTTAGACACATCTCTGGATGCATAAAAAGAGTCTGTTAGGTTTATAGCTTTCATATATCTATACAACAATAATAAATACATGTATGTTGTTGTTTTTTTTTTAAATAAACTCTTTTCCACCTACAGTATATATATATAAAAACAGTAATGTTAAATGAACACAAGTAACATCTTCAATTCTATGTGTAAATTAAAGCTCTTCCACATTCTAATTAGTATAAGTAACTGATTACCAAGTTCATAAACAAGTAATAATGTACAAGAAATAACAGGTTAATAGGAGCTGGAACAAAATCACACATTAGCTCCAACATTATTATGTACAGCAGATTTTAGTTTGTTACATGGTTCTTGTTTTAAACAACACAATCTGATAAATCCGAGCACTTTTTTACGTAGCATTAAGCCAAGCAAACATATCACAAACACACTACAAAGTACAGTTAGTTTAGTTTGATAGTCATCTCCATAATGTGAACCACTCAATCCTAGGAATGATTCTAGGCCAAGAGAGTTTTCATTCTCTAACCATTTTTCACCCATCTCTCCTAAAGGGTTCGGAATAAACACTCTAGGTAAGTTAAATGGTCTATGATATGGCTGAATTATCCAAATTTGATCAACAAGTTTATTATTTGAACATTCTCTGACTTCCCAGTGAAGATGTGTAGCATTGAAAACTTTCAAGCGTCCAAAAGATTCTTTCCCCGTCTCAGACAAGACAAAGGCTGACCACTGACCACCTACATTTGTACTCTTGTCTGTCATGTACACAGAGCCCAGTGTTCCTATAGTGATGTGTATGGGAGCAGCTGGCTCCCTGTAGTTGTACTGCACAGCTTTCTTGTTATAAACTGGCCAAGTTCGTTCATAGTAATGTTCATGGCCAGAGATAATCAAATCTACACCTTCAGCATAAAACACATCTTCCAATGATGTTCTTACAATAGAATGATCACGTTTACAATCTTCATGGAAATTATCTACTGAGCAATACATAGGCCTGTGACCCATTGCAATTATCCAAGGTCGAGCTGAACGTTGAGTGTTAGCTTTGTCTAAATCTGCTTTTAACCATACAAGCATTTTTTCAATATTAACTTCATCATAGAAAAAAACTTCCGTTGAATATAACACAAAATGAATAGGTCCAACATCTAAACTGTACCATAAATTGTCGGACGGCATTGGCCATGGCAAGTTTGGCATTGAAAATCTGTAGCGATAATGCAAAAACTCATCATAACGTTCATGATCTCCTGGTACAGTCATATAAGGAGTTCTAGCAGCAACTTTTTCAATCTTTTGTAAAAATTTATCACCTATTTGTCCCTGTCCTCTGTTCAAGTCATATGCTATATCACCGATATGGAACACTGCTTCATATTTTTCATTCAATGCTTCCTGAAGCAAAAACTGTATATTATGTGTTTCAGTGCCCAAATCACCATACACCATGAAGGAATGCGTGTTACCTGCCATCACTGGAGGCATTGTGAAACTAAACTGATCACTTAAAGTGTCCATACTCTCACCATGAACATTGTAATAGTATTTAACTTGAGACTGCAAACCTTTTAAGCAGACTCTATGCAAGTATTTTGCTCCATCTTCATTAGTTGTCTCAAGTTTCATTGTTTCACCTTCAACTTTAACAGCTTTCTGTCTATCCCCAGTGTGATACTCAACGACGGATATATCATGTGCTCTTGTAGCCCACATTATAGTCATGTCTGTTGCCGTGTCACCTAAACTGATATGTATCTGTTGTGGTTTCAGACTTGCCTCAGACAACTTCAGGTTTTCTCGGTTAGCTCTTAGTTCCACTTTCTTTCCTATTTCTGCAGCTGAGGCAAACAAACATCCAAGATATAACAGGAATGCAAAGCACATACTGTGCCCAGGAGAAAAACTTTTCCATGCCATTTTTTTTGTTTCACTTATTGACTTTTTTGATGGTTCAACTCACTGAAAAAAAAAAATAAAAAAAAAATAAGACAATCAAATATATTGACCATGCTCAGCTCTCAAACAGCTAAACAAAAATTGTCAAACTATGAGGAATAGAAATATCAGTTTCAAATATTTTGCCTCAAAGACTTTCTCTCAATTGACCATTGACAGATCCAAGGACAGAGGTCAAAGTAAGGTACATGTAAATCAAAGTCAATCTTTCTCAACAAGTAGAAAATCTATTTCTCATCTCAGTGATCTAGACTCCATAAATAATTGAAGGATTCCCTTTAACTGAAGAAAACTATTCTTTTAGTATATTGATGCTATCCCCGCAAACCACAAACCATTTCTTTTTAGAGTTCATCAAGATCTGCAGTGTGGTTGAGGAGATATTGTTATAGTCTTGTTTCTATTTTACCTCTGATGGCCATCTTGTTTAGCAGATAAGAACAAATAAAGAAATGTTTCACTCAACGATAAATTCATTAAAACTGGATCATTTAAACACCAGTTAAAATTCAAAGAAAGAATTAATCTATTTGTGATTGGTAAATTCTTGTTTTGTGTACTTTACTCACAACTTTAATATCAAATATTTAAAGACAAATGATATACACATGTATACACATGTAATTAGGATTTAGATAAATGGAAAATAACATGCATTTTTGGAAATCATAATTTTTTATTTATTTATTTTGAAAAGACGGACCATTTTAAGTTCAAAGACTGACTTCAGTCCATTTATAAATGAATTTTAGTACGACCATATAAAGCAGAATTCTGGCAACAATCAGTACTTGAACATCTAACTAGGAATAAAATAACATGTCAAAATGAATTGTCTTCTTGTCATTGAAATATTTGGAATATGTCCTTTGTTTTACATCTAGTTATGTTGGACCACTGGAATCTGATATCAATCAGTAAAGCACAATTCTCGTGTATATAAGAAAATTGACTTGTTTATCTTAATAAAACACATTTTTATAAAATGTCATTTTATTAATTCATTATAGATACAGGTATAGGGGTGAATTTTTGTAAATACACCAGAATTGTGCTTTACTGATAAAATTTCAGATTCTTATGGTCAGACTTGAATATGTCTTGAAGATGTTATCAGACTTGAAGATGTTACACAACCAGCCAGTTAGCTCTGACAGTTGGCAGACCATAAGCTTGCAAGCCTGGGGAATCTGGGTTTTACAACTGCAATTTTTTCGCTTACCAACAGTCAATTCAGGAATTTCAGGATGAATATATGTGAATTTGAGCAGCTAGGCCTAAAGTAAAATTTTATTTGTTTCCCATTCCCTACCTACCCAACAAATTTGCCCCTACCCAAAAGATTTTTTCAGGTTCTTAGGGGATGTAAGTATTTTTTTACTTTCAGAGTACAATAGGTACAATCTAATCTGATATTTTAGACAGCTAGCATAGTTAATAAATTGTTGCATATGTCAGTTGTGAATATGGTAATGCATGTACATATACTATTGCACTTAATAAATTAATTTTAATAGTTCATTATACATATATGCAGATTATTTATTATTATGCACATATAAAAAAATGAATTTCTTACTGTTTTTCTGATATTGATAACATCTGACAATAAATCAAGTATGGCATTCCTGGAAGTGTTTAAGTTAATACAACAAGTGACTTTATGTACTTTAGTCAGACATGACATCAGCACCACAGAATTAAGAATGTGTTTGAATTTAGGTTGTGATTAAAAATTGGTTGTTTCGGGATATATACATTGTATATAGGCAAAAATAAATAAATTAAAAAAAAGAATAAAAATTTATGCCTCCCTACATACCCTTATTTTTAACAATGTCACTGGCAACATACAATAATCTTTAGGACTTATAACCTCTTGTCTTTGAATTTTGTTGTTACCACTTGATTCAATGATTGTTGACTAATTTGATTACTGCAACCACTTATCCAATCAAGCTGTAACAACATACTATAGGTCATGTCAAACATGAACACTGAATTATCCCTACAGTATATGATACTACAACAAAAAAGCTGCTGAATAGACAAAGACCGAAACGTCCAGGAGTTGAAAAGACCACGGCCGAAAATTATGTCATGAACGTGAAACGTTCTGATAGTGATACCCTATGATTATGAATCAATGAGTATGATAGTCCAATATATTAGACGTTACAGGCTTGTTATAGTTTTTGTCGGTCAAGCCTGACGTCTAATAGTTATTGCTCAAAAACGCATAGCATCATAAAAAATTCAAAAAATGTCTATTGTCTTGCCTTTCAAGCTTAATTCAAAAGCTTATCTTCTTTTCTTTCAATTTCATGCTCAATCATACACAAAAACTTTCAAACAATGTACTTATCAATTTGAAATAAAATATAAACATCAATCTATTTTTGTCTATCAGCCATACTGGTTAAGTAAGGTGCTTTACAGATTGATTCCAAATTTTTGAACGGAAAAATATATTCGAACACACTGACGGTGCATGGGCAATTATTTCGTTAAAAAAATATTCCGTTAGATTATTCCGACTCAGTTAAACGCTTGCATTTGAATTAGCCAATCAGATTTCGCGCACTTTACGGCCGCCATTTGTTTATCGGCTGTAAAAGGAATTTAAATACACGAGAGGTTTAATCATGATTTTTCGGATGTGACAGTTTAATTATTTTGACAAAAGGTTTAAATTTTTTAGTTTTGTTCATAAATACAAATAAAAATTATGCAAATACACACTGTCTTCATTGTTTTTCGTTCTGCCTGATTTTCTGGCGGAACATGCTATGGGTTTTTGAGCAATTTCGATATGACGTTGCTTTGCCCAGAAGCAAAAATATCTCAAAGCGACGTCATATTTATAGGACTATGAGTATGACAGCCCTACTTTTTTGTTGAATGATCTCATTTATTGATTCGATTCCTCTGATGTAACATGACTCTTAGTAATAAACAGGCGCGTAGCTAGCCTATAAAGAATGTGGATTCAAAATAATCTAGGGGGGTCAGGGGGCATGCCCCCCTGAAAATTTTGAAATAAATGGTGCAATTTGGTGCGTTTTGGGGCCTCCGGAGAGCTTTCTTGACCAACGAAAATCCATTTAGTTTAGCATAAAAATGGAGATGAATAGCTTTACTTTCGTTTATTTCAACTAGTCTACATTTCACAGCAAGTCTAACTTGCGGCCTTTGCTGGCCGCAAACTCGTTAATGATATTTTTTTTTTGGTCAAAATAATGTGGATTCAGCTGCGTACTCGCGTATAGGCAGCTACGCGCCTGATAAATATTATTTTGTTTTCAATTCATCCCATATGGCTTTAAAAATTATCTGGAGAACGGTAAATAATTATTTGTAAGTTTTCTGTTTTGCGATATCCGATAACTATAACACAATGAAGCTTTTGCGTCCATGCCGTTCACATGGTTCTCTAATATGAATTCTTAAAAAATTAACTAACCAAAACATAATTCTTCCATTCTCTTCTTCTAGTATTCTGCTATCGACTGTATACGAACAGAAAATTCAAATTAAGTGTTTTAATGACAACTGCGTAAACAGCCGCCATTGTTTTTATAAATTATTATCGAATAAGAATCATTTTATCGTTTTCGTCACCCAGGGAAACAAGTTTTAGTATTTTATTTTGTAACATCAAAGATCACAAGACAATAACATATGCATAAAAAATTTGCAATTTACAATAAGATCTATCTGTTTAAATTAATCAAATTGTAGAATATGCGTTGTTAATAACATGGATTACACACCTATGTTGTCTTTAAAGCAAACATGGATACATTTATGACGAGGGTAATATATAAAATTACAAGCAAGAAAAGCACATATATATTCTTAAATAAAGTAGAAAGGATATTTATATAAGAAACATTTTTTCCTTGTATTTACAAACATGCACAATTAACCAACATCGCTTTCTATTCTTTAATTTGACCGAAAAATGAGATATAGTATACACGGAGAACAAACCGCATTTCATTAAAGTTTCCTATTTAAAAAAATAAACCAGTGCTATATATCATGTCTAACAGATCAAATTTTTCATTTATGGAGAAATTAATTAGTCACAGGTGTATAAACCTTTTTATGTAAACGAGTATATGCGGTCACTTTTGATCTGTGTAACGAAAAATTGTTTTTGAACAAGGAAATATTTTCAATAACTTTTCAAAGAAACCATTATATACACGCAAAAAATGTGTCCAACATTGTACATACTAGTACATTGTATTATTTCCCATATATTGCACCATCTGTTAAATTACTAAAAGTTATTTACGGGTGTGCTATAATTCCTGACTCACTACGTGCATACGTATAGTTAGAAGGAATAAAATTTTACGATCGGATGATTCCCGTATAAATTAAAATTAGATGAATAAAAAAGCAAACCCATGTCCATGTTGTACTTTAAATTAAAAATGACCGGTATGTTTATATGGAGCATCGTCTTTTACAGCATACATTTACAATTCCTATTTGGAATAATACCTTATGTCAGATATGTAGATCTATATCTCTGTTTATATTAATTAATTATTAAAACAATCATGCTGAGATGTATATAGATTGATAGGCGGCTGGTTTCATGACCATCACAACGAGAGAAAATTGCCAGTGAATGATAATATAAATGAACTTACTTGCACAAATTACTACATACAATGATAATTCTAATAGAATAAGGGGTTACATCAGATTTACTTAATATCAATTTACATTTATACTAAGATATAAAAAAACACATTTTTAAGAACAATTCAATACTGAAGAGAAACGATTGCTTAAATGGATATAACGGGAATTTAGTCCACAAAAATATAGTCGAAATAAACAAAAAATCATCACATTTTGATATTTGTCAATGTCTTACCCATACCTTACTTACCTCTGTTTTAAAGGCAATGAACAGTCGGGCATACTTCCTGATCGGGAAACAAGGGGATTCCCCTTCAAGGTTTCCTGATCAGGCAACAAACGTCAAAATCTTTCCCGATCGGGAAGTTTTTTAGGCCTTTTTTACGTAGTTCAAGAAAAATGGCCGGTGCATAAAAATTTTCAATCCACTTCAATATGAATATTACATTTTAGTTCAGAAAAGATACATCTAAAATCCTACCGAGTCATTTTCTTTTTAAATGTTTACAAGTAAAATAATCTGAAAGTGAACTTAAGTAAAGTTTTTAGATTTTACCAAAAACTAGCCACTTCCCGTTTTGGGAACATTGCTTCCTGATCAGGCATCTAGCAAAATATTCATCACTAAAAGTTTAAGATACATTGCTTCCCAATCAGGAAGTACCTTATATTTGTAGTAGTACCTGGCCTTGATGATTAGAAATTTCCAAGCCATGGTCAGTTTTTAAAGACATGTGGCACATAATTCAATCACGGCGAGTAGAATATATCTGGCGAAACTTATGTTCTTGTTAGGCGTAATAATACCTATCAAAACATTAGCTATACTTGACGGACAGTACAAAAATCATCATTACAATACAAACTTTTTAAAAAGTTTCAACTTTTAAAGTTTTTTAAAGCACATTTTTGAACAACATTGAAAGAGGTGAAAATTTTTTCAAAAACAATTAACCTTTGCACCCCCAAAAATTAAAGGGTTAAAAATTTTTGGACTAGAGCTCACATAAAAAAAATTTTTTTGGCTATAGCTAAAGCCCTTGTTTCCCATACTAAATGTGTTTGTAGTAAAACTGTGTCATATTTTCCTAAAAATTTTAGGGGGTTTTTTAAGCTATATATTTTTGATGCAAAATTTTTAATTTTTTTTTTTAAAAATTTTTAAAAAAAAATTATATTTTTTCAAAAAGTTTTTTATGAAAAAAATAGGGAAAACGAAAAAATGGGAAAGCAAAAAAAGGTTCTTTTTCCCCTAAAAAAAACCATAAAAAAACCCTAATTAATATACCCAAAACGTTTTAAATTGTTTTTCCTTTTTTACTTACAATTTTTTCATTTGTATTTAAAAAACAGAGATATTTTATGTAACATTACTTTTTCAGGAGTCAACCATATAATGGAACCAGCATAATTTTGCTGTTAATAAATTAAAATTTTATTTAAATATTTCATAAGATATAGAACATACCCTTTAAGCCACTTTAATTTAAAAAAAATGAATAAAATATAAGATAAAATAAATAAATAAAACAAGAAATATCATAATGACATATATGCCCCCCTGTCTAGCTGAAATTGAATGAAATCTATCATTAGTAAGTTAAACAAAATGGAGAGTAGCTTGAATAAATTATATACTATCATGTAAATGTAACTATGAGCATCTACTTTGAACATTCAAGGTTATTGTAACCTTGTCATCTGACCAAGTGACCTCAAAATCAATAGGGGGCCATCTACTAGTTATGAACAATTAAAATGTGAAACACGAAAACTTGATAACGGGTACTTTTGAAGATAATGAGTAGAAACCATTCTGACATTTAACGTCCTTATTACCTTTGACCTAAATACCTCAAAATCGACAGGGGTCATCTACTTATTATAACCAATCAATATGTGGAATATAAAAGATTTAGTGATAAATAGTTCTCAAAATAGTGATTAATAGTGTTCAAAATAATGAACGCAAACCATTCTGACATTTAAGGACCCTGTTACCTTTAAACTGGTGACCCCAAAATCAATAAGGGTCATTTACTACATATGACTAATCAACACATGAAATAAAAAAACTTTGTGAAAAATACTTTTCAAGATATTGTGCGGAAACTATTTTGACATTCAAGTCACTGTGACCTTGACCTTTGACCTAGTGACTCCAAAATCAAAACGGGTCATCTTTTAGTTACGACCAATCAATATGTGAAATATGAAGACTTTCTAATAAATAGTTTTCAAGATAATGAGCGGAAACCATTCCGAAATTTAAAACACCTGTAACTTTGACCTTTAAGCTAGTTACCCCAAAATCAATATAGGTTATCTAATAGTTATGACCAATCAATATATGAAATATGAAGCCTTTTTGATAAATTGTTTTTAAGATAATCAGCAGAAACAATGTGGTCTAACGACGGATAAACAAACATACTTAAGGTCCCTGTGATATTGACCTAAAGACCCCAAAATAAATAGGGTCATCTATTACTTACGACCAATCAATATGTGAAATATAATGACTTAGTGATAGATAGTTTTCAAGATAACGGGTTAAGACCATTCCGACATTTAAGGCCCCTGTGACCTTGACCTTTGACAAAGTGACCCTGAAATCAATAAGTTTCATCTACTATAGTTATGACCAATTAGTATGTAAAATATGAAGACTCTGTGATAAATAGTTTTTAATATAATAACTGAGGTCTACCGATGGACTGACCGACTAATATTAACATATAAACATAGCATAACATATATTTAATTCAACATACAATTGTATACATACAATTTATAGTCATACATATATTGTGTGGACATTAGCAAATCAATACACACACTCTTCTTCGAAGTGGGGCATAATAAAAATAACTAGGGCCGGGAGCGAATAAGAACATTGATGTTCGAATATTCGTTTTTCCATATTCGAATATATTCAAATATTCATTTTTACAATATTTGAGAATACACCACCTATGATGCTATCATTTGTATCTGAACTGCTGGACACTCCAGACTTCAAAACATTCACACCATGACTCACATGTTGATTTGTTGCACAGATAAATTTATTTGCTGGTGTTGTCCCAAGCAATAATTCCAGAATAGAACGCGCTAACTTAAAGAATAAAACTTCCCAAACGGGAAACATTTAATGGTGAATATTATGCTAGATGCCTGATCAGGAAACAGTGTTTCCAAAACGGGAAGCCGCTACTTCTTAGTAAAATCGTAAAACTTCACTCAAATTCACTTTCAGATTATTTTAATTTTAGACATTTTAAAAGAAAATGACTCGGTAGGATTTTAGATGTATCTTTTCTGCACTTAAGTGTGATATTCATATTGAAGTGGGTTGAAAACTTTTATGCACCGGCCATTTTTCCTGAACTACGTAAAAAAAGGCCAAAAAACTTCCCGATCGGGAAGGATTTTGACGTTTGCTGCCTGATCGGGAAGCCTTGAAGGGGAACCCCCTTGTTTCCCGATCAGGAAGTATGCCCGACTGATGAATAAACCGAACAACGCGCCTTTGCCGTTAATGGAACGTAAACTATTTTGATCTTTTATGAAATATCGACAAAGAGCAAAAATGCTTATTTACTGCACACGTTTTTAATTGTTTGGAAAGAAGCATTTCTTCTTGAATATTTAATTTGTCTTTGCCGTGCTTGTAAAGATGATGTATAACCTTTAAGAGTACTATACTTGTATATTCTAAGAAATTCGAAAAATATATTTGTCCATAAGACCAACATGGCATGTACTCGTACATTAAATTATCAACGTCATAACTAGAATTAATAATAATAAAACATTTCTTTTTCAACTAATCAAATACGTCTCCCAAGAATTTTTTTTTTTAAATGCATTGCTGTGGCATTCTTCACAAAATTATTAGACTTATTTTTTTTCTGATGGTATATAATTATCTTGCTTTAGTAACTGCCCAGTAAAATCATAAGGACATGATTTATGAAATTAACACGCACGCTTATAGTAAGTAGGCTTTGTTCTTAGCTGTTTTTTCTCATTGTCTACTTTCGTGCAATAATGGCTTGGCAACATACATGTAGCTTGTTCACTTTTTCTGATGTTTAAGAATCATATATAAGTCACTGCCATTGCTTACAAGTCACAATATACTGCGACTGATCTAGCTAGGCTGTTTGATTTAACACGTATCACGACTGTGAGTTTTTCATCTATTGTATAATTGGTCATGGATTGTAAACCACTGAATCCATTTATTGAAACAAAGGTCCGAATGTGGTACCGCTTGCATAATAAGAAAAGAAACGGTTTCATGAGTAGAAAGGACTTTATAGAAATGGCTGACTCATTCATTGCAGAATTTAAACTAGACGCTGAAATGGCACATGAAATTCGCTCCTGGCTTGTGGATGGATGGTCAGGACTGATCAAGTTCATGAAAACAATCGGTGAAGGTACGAAACCTAATATTCCAATTGATAAAATACCAACGGTTTTAATGGTAGCTGAAAAACTGTCAAAAGATGGCACCATAACAGAAGATGAATATACTAAAGCCTACGCGGAGTCGTTACAAATTCAGCCAAGTCCATTTCCTGCATGTTTTTCTGAGATGCTTTCATTCTTCTTCAAGATATTTGATACCGATAAAGACGGATTTGTTACCGAAAAGGACTTTGCAAGGGGATGGAGATGTTTTGGCATAGAAAATTCCAAAGCAGTAAAAGCAATATTTGCAGAACTAGATCCATCTGGAACTGGCAAGGTTGACAGGGATACCTACGTTGGCGCTTGGTTGGAATACATGACAGGAATGGATAAAAACGCTCCACTCGCCAAATATTTTACCCCTGACATTTTGTAAGGTGGATTGAAGAGAACACAGCGTTCGTTGGTTTTCGTGTTTTATGTTGTCGGAGGTCTTCTATGAACAAAATATTGGAAAAGCAAACGTATTATTTTGTGTGACATTTTAAGAATGTGTTAATGATTTTACAAACTTTGCTATGATATTTCATTCAGGTACAGTTGTTTAGTGGCAAGAATTCATATTTTTATATGACTTAATTCTTTTTGATGTTTAGGCGAAATGTAATTTAGATTTTGCAATTAAGAATTTGAAAAGACAAAGAAAAGCTAGTAATTGATATATTAAAGTTAACGAAGCTAAATTTAAACTTGATGAATATATGTGCAATAGATTTATAGCCTTTATGTATGTTTATATGTTGTGACTAGAATGTAACAGTAAAACTTGAAAAGTCATTTCTTTACATTTTATATGATAATTATTATGATACATAGTATTTAGTGTGTTGGATAGGTTATAGTGATGTTAATTGCCAGATCAGTATCAAGTCATTATATGGATTGTTATAAATGTAAGTTGACAGTCAACACATAATAATTACAGAATGGTGAGATTATTTTAAATTATTTTATCTCATCTGTTTTGCATCAAAGCTCCGGCCTTGTGTATACAGTATGTATGGGAAAAGAAAAAAACAAAACAAAATTATTGAATGAAAAAGGGCAAATTTATTTATTTAAAAAGTTAATAAGTATATATATGATATATTTGTCCGTATCTGGTCGACGAGAACCGCCTCAAAGGACCAGGGAAACTGGTCTGCCGTCCAGATACAGTAACACACCGGCAGAAGGTGTGATGAACTGTACATAACCCTTAAGAGGGAATGAAAGATCGATGAATTTCTTAAAGTAATGAATAGTTATGCCACATTGACTTAAGGAAATAAGTTTTTGTTCTTTCCCCTATAACACTTGTTACGTTTTTGGGTGGAGCATTAGTCTGATCAGGGTCTTTCAAATGTAGATTCTATTCTGATCACTCTAAGTAATTATTAAGTTATGATATATTAAGATATAATATAAACAAGTTTTAAGATGTGCAGATGGCGAACTCATTGTTCTGATATATAAAAGACGTCTTCATTACTATGTCGGAAACATCTGACTCCCAATTATTTAAAGTGAATCTCACCTCTGCGCCATAGAATGTACATGTCGGTACATGCGGTAGAAACGTGGGAGGAAGCTACATAGGTAGGGGAAAATTCGTGCGATTTCTCCACCTTCCTCTTAAATAATGGACAAAGGGCTTTTTGACGAACACTTTAACGATCATTTTAACATTTTCTATTACTTTTACAATTTCATCTAATTTGTATGGTGAAAATTCTAGAAAATTCAATCGTCCCGCTATATTTTTATCTTATTTTTTTTTTTTTTTTTTGGAAAATCGAAGCTTCTTTTACATGTCGCTTACCCATCCCTAAGTACACGTTTGGTGTATGGAATGCCTTCTAAGCGATTAGGCTAACGTGAATCGTGTATTACATATTTGTTTAAACTCGATTTCTAGCAACTTATATTAATCAATTTCGAGTTCGCTTTCCTCGAACCAACCAGTACTGGTGTCATATGAAGAAACATGATCGTGCTCCAATTAGAGCTCGAACCCATGATACCTGAGTTAAGAGGCAGACACCTTAACCATTAGGCCACCACTCCCCTGAGATAATATTTAATTTGCAGTTATTGATTTTCATTTTCAGTCGTTATTTTTAACAAACAATACACTAGAACGAAAGTTGGCGAAACCAGAACAGTTATGATGACAGAGATATATAATTTTTATAATGATTTAGTTGTTGTCATGCCAAAGAAGAACACAATCTGCACCCATTAGTAGTGATTTAAACTTTTCATTAATGTTGACTTCATTGCTTTTAAAGAACTGGCAGTTTTCATTCACAACAGCAGGATATGGAGCGGCAAAATGTTGCACCGAACTCTTCTCAGTTTTTCCCTTTATCCTCCGGAATCATTAGTGCCAATACTTACCATGCAGTGTTTACGGTACTTAGGGGCGTTAAAGACGTTGCACCTTTCAATTACTACAAGTCTAGCTGCGATGGCCTCCATCTCCCTTTACCGTATAATAGTTTGAAATGCTGAGACTGCTTTTTATTCACTGCATAAAACCGAGGAGATGCTGAACTTTTCTTTTCCTATAAGCTTGATTTTCAAAGCATGGTTTATTCACATTAAAAGTGTTACATTCTATTTCAAAATGTTCTCAAACAGTTAAAGTTATTTGGCGATGATTTTACTCCAGGGGCTTCCCCTGAAATATAAAATAGCAGTTAGGGTATGGTATGTCTTGTTGAATGTAACGTATCTTATTTCATGTAATTCGGTGTAAGCCTACACAAATTACGTTTTTGCTAATTTTATCAACGTTTTAAGAATTATATCATGCGTATCATCGTTGAAAACTGACTCATTCCAGATTTTAAGAAATATCTCTAAGCATTTCGCTTTACAAAATAGTGAATTAACTTTGGTCGGATAAAGCACACATTACATATATTAGTATATACTACTGTACAGTAACAGGTATGTTATATGTGGTTATGTTTAATCGTATAACGTTCAACTTACTTATATTATCGTAAATTTTGTATGTTTAGACAATGTTATAGTTAAAAAAGGCTTTTGTAAAGTATTTTCTAACAAAGAAGCGGCGTATACAAAATTGTACATAAGGTTAGCCTATTACGAATTACAATGCCACAGTGACTAATAGGTTTTTAAAATAAACGGAATCATAATTTGTCATATGTTAAAACTTTGTTATAGTGAAACTTGCTCCATATAAGACTTGGTAAGTCATGAATCGCATTTTCTTTTTTACAAATGACACGAAACAACATCGTCTTTTATTATAGTTAAAATCACACTGCCATTTACCTTTTCTCGACATTTTTTTCCGCTTTCGATGAAGAACAATTTAAAAGACGTTATTATTTGAATGCTGACCAACATTGAAATATTTGACATTAAAGGGCACACTTATTATACAATATATTAAATAGTATACATGTAGGTAAGTTTAGAGTACATATGGCATTATGTGACCTCTCAATGGGAAAGTTGATATATTGAATAGATTCCTATGTTTCCGTCGAGGGTAAAAACAGAGTCTTACTTAAGATAACCATCATTCGTTCTTAACAACGTACATATCTATCTATCCCAGAGGGATTCGGAGTTCACCGTCTATCAAAACTTCCGTCTATTTCAGACCATCCTTATATATACAATACAATGTATATATATATTGTTAAGATCTTTTTTGTATATATTTAAGTAAAAAGAAGAGAATCTAGGCTCGGCAATAAATGAAGGAAGTAGACAAGGAGACAAAACATTTTGTTTAAAGAAACAACTATCCTTTCAGCTAAAACATCTTTTTTTCAGTACAAATTGATTAAGTTTATATAAAGTTGTACATTACAAATATTCAGCAAATAAAATTTTATCTGATAAGATTTTTTTACAATGGGATGGCTTTTAATCAGTATATTCAGTTTTCGATTCTTTCATAGTTATAGTTTTCTATATACACTAAATCATTAATTTCATTTGAATATAAGTATTTAAGCCGTGTCGCGACAAAACCAACATAGTGCGTTTGCGACCAGCACGGATCCAGACCAGCCTGCGCATCCGCGCAGTCTGATCAGGATCCATGCTGTTCACTATCAGTTTCTTTACTTGTAATAGGGTTGGTAAGCGAACAGCATGGATCCTGATCAGACTGCGCGGATGCGCAGGCTGGTCTGGATCCATGCTGGTCGCAAACCCATTATGTTGGTTTTGTCATGGCACGGCTCATTTCTTTCTGTCGGGTTTTGAATTACCAGTCCCTGTGGTTATCACTTTCAGAAAACATGATGCGAGGTTACCCGAGTTGACTTATATGATCCTTTTTTGCATTTTCACGGTGTCTGTATGGCAAAAAAGGAATTGGATTAATTTGTTAAGTTTCAGTGTATGGTCACGCCTATATCTTGCGTGCTTGATATCTTAAACTTATTAGTGTCGTCGGAAAATAAAATTAATGTGTCCAATTTTGATGAGGTTGACATAAAACTGTTAAAGAAACACGCAAGTTTTCAGCACTTGCAACGGAATTTCTCTTGTTCTTTATTATAAAGAAGGATTGTATCAAATTAACAAGTAAGAACATCATAATTATAATATGATTTATATGAAAAATCATCACACTTTTATATATTTTATTAATATAATATGCCTTGCTTCTGTTGTTGTTTCATACAAGCACGCCCTTTATCGTGTAACAACGGTATGAGGATGAAATTTATATGATTTTTACATGTTATAACATTGAAGTTTTTTGTCCTGACTCTGACGTCATGCCAACCGGGTAACTGACACTGACGTCATGCTAACCGGGTAACTGACACTGACGTCATGCCAACCGGTTAACTGACACTGACGTCATGCCAAACGGGTAACTGACACGTCATGTCAACCGGGTAACTGACACTGACTTTTTGCCAACCGGGTAACTGACACTGACGTCATGCTAACATGTTATGTTGACACTGACGTCATACCAACCGGGTAACTGACACTGACGTCATGCCAACCTGGTAACCGTATGTATATACTTTTGTAATAATTGTTGGTCTCGTTTTATCCGTATTTTTCAAGGGGGATCATTTTAATAATATGATAATTAACTTTAAGATATGAAAATCATATAAATATTATTTCTTAAAACAAAGAGGTCATTATACAACATTTATAAGACAGCAAAAATATACTTAGTTGTCTTATATTACGAGGTTATCATTGATCATTGTTGAGTACCTGAGTACAATACTGAATTCTATTGGACGAGGCGCTAGCCGATTCTGATATAGGTTTGGCAGCTGTGTACAAGCCCGATAAAATCAATATTGTAATCAACAATGTAAAATAACCTCTTCACTTTATTTTGACATTCTACAGAACTTTGTTACCTTATAGGAATCGATATGAATAATTTTAACCTGAAAATGTTAATGAGGCTAGATGGTGTATGATTTGCATTTGATATAGATATTTTGAACTCTGTAAATATAAAAAAAGCTTTATGAGGTGCGATATGCATTTGATATAGATATTTTGGACTCTGAAAAAAATGTAAACGAGGCTATATTTGATACGATATGCATTTGATAATTTATCATTTGATATAGATTTTTTTGGATTCTAGAAATGGAAATTTCTATTGAAACATCACGTGAGTCAAACGCTGAATGTTCATTGGTTATATATTTTATAAGGTGTAAAATAATATAAGTGATATAATTTTTTACTGTGAATAAAAAAAGACTATTAGTTGTATATGTGTTGTTTTTTTACAATATTTACAATTCAACAAGTCATTAGTTGTTATATAACCTTTAACCTACTCGCGGTAACCAGTGCGGACCACTGTCACCTGGTACCGCGTCGCTTCTCGGTCAGTAAATGTTCCCTAAAATGATGAATAGTTTTGTCCAAACTAAAAAGTGGACAAGTCCATTTAAGATATTAAGCGTGGTAAAGCTTGTTTTGTAACATTATATCAGATACTGAATACAAACGACTCAAGCATTAAATTAATTCCGTTTTAAATTACAAACATGAAGTACAGCTTTCAATGGTTTCCATGGAAACTGATAAACTATATGATAAAGATATTGTGTAGGAAGTAAACGGAAAATGAAATTTAAAAGAAACACATGCAATTTATAGATATATTATGCTCATATTTGATATTTGAAAATATTGAAAATTGCTACACTGTCTCTTTTGTAAATATAAAATTAACAAGTCAATGTATATATATTTTATGCTTCAAACGTATGAATCTAAAGTGTCATTAAAAACTGGCAGTTTTTTAGGACCGACTTTACTTGACTTGTAATAGGAAATGCAACTTCTCAAACATAGTTTTTAAATCATATTATTTAATTTTACCCATGAAATATGGTGCTATATCAGTCAAATATATTTCATATTTTTTAAAAATAAATATGAAATATAAATATGAAAGTGGGCGGAGTCAAAACTCATATTTATTTTAAGGGACTTCTTTCGCCGTTTTGTTTGAAAAATCTGATAAATACAAAACAACTTTTTCTTGAATATTGTTTTGAAAACTATCTAGCATGATAGAAAATGGTCTAACTAAGAAAATTAATTCGAACACCAATATCTTTAATTCAGTAATTAACGTTGTACAGACGTTTGAAGAGTTGTTTACATGACGTCACAATGTAGCGCCAAACAGCGCGTGCTTACGCATAAATTACTGCGCTCTGTACAGTTGCAGTTGGTAGCAAGCAAGGGGATTCGTTACCATTTTCTTTGATAATGAAATTAAATAAAAAGGTTATTTTTTCGTTTTTCGTGAAATATGGTATATATTTTCACTCAACATGATAAAATGCCACATATTTTCACTCGCCGTACCGGCTCGTGAAAATATGTGGCATTTTATCATGTTTCGTGAAAATATATTCCATATTTTACGCAAACGAAAAAATATCTTCTTTTTATTCAAATAAGACATATTCAGTAAAAGCTTCATAGATATCGGTCAAATCATTTTACTCATCGATGAGCATATAGTAGATCTATATCTTTAATCATGAAAACACATACAAGTTAAACAATATCATGACAATCATGATTACATTTGTACAAAAATCATCTAAACGCATACAATAAACATGACTAAACACATACAATTATCAAGAGTAAACACATATAATACTAGTAATCATGTCTAAACACATATGATAATCATTGCTTAGTACATACATGTGTAAATATCATGACTTTAAACACGTGTAATAGTCATGTATAAACGCCTTTGTAATCATGGCTTAACACACATGATAATTATGACTGAACACATGTCTGATCCCATGCAGTAATCATGACTAAACACATACAATTATCAAGAGTAAACACATATAAAACTAGTAATCATGTCTAAACACATATGGTAATCATTGCTTAATACATACATGTGTAATAATCATGACTAAACACATGTAATAATCATTTATAAACGCACATGATAATCATGGCTTAACGCACATGATAATTATGACTGAACACATGCAATAATCATTGCTTTATAAGTGGATTATGTTCCCAAAGGACTGCCATCGGCAGCCGAACTGTATTTGTGTAAACTATAACAGATCACAAGCACGAGTATCGGACATGGGAAGAAAAAATATGACCAGATTGATAAAAAAAACCTTTGTTCATCCCCCCCAAAAGAAGCTAAATATAAAAAAGAATATAAAAAATAATTGTGAAATATGAACCCACTTATGTTAACTAATAGTATATTTATAAGGTGGCTCATATTTCACCTTTTTTGTGTTTGTAACATTTAAGATGAACACAGGGTGTTTTTTATCAATCTGCTCATATTTTCATCCCAGGTGCCTATGTAACAGTTTTGCCTATATTGCCTAGTCTCACAATGTATCAATACGTTACAAAGGTTCACGTACTTTTACGTTTATAATTTCCGAGAGTCACTTCCTTTATGATATCTGCAGCTTAGTAACGTGACAATCCTTACACTATGTTATATATTATGACTGAACACATGCAATAATCATGGCTAAACACCTAAAGAAATAATGATTAAACCACGGATTTATATTACATGTAATATAAATCCGTGATTAAACACAAAAAATAATGAATAAACACATACATGTCAGATTAAAGACATATAATAATCATTATTGAACACATACAATAATCATTAATGGACAAATGCAGTAATGATAATAAAACACATACAATTAGTCAATAATCATTATTAAAGACATACATTTATCATGACTGAAAACATACAATAATCATGAATTCCATTCTGAATTATAAAATCGCATTGATTTTGATTACCAATGTCGATTTAAAGTTTTACATTCTTATATATTTCTTATATATGTTTTTTCATTTTTTTTATTATTTTTTTTTATTTTTATCTTTTTGAGATGTATACAAGGGTCAAGGATGGGTGACCGTAAGTGTGTAGTCATCGCCCACTTAATGTTAACTGTCAGAAGATACTTGAATATGATATTGAGCGATCATCGCTGCTTTTTCTACTTTTTAAGTGGATTATGCTTCCAAAAGACTGTCATCCCAAAATTTCTCCAGACCCTTGGTGGAGCATTACCTCATCCTCGGCAGCCGGGCTGTATTTGTGTAAATTATAACAGATATTGCATATTCTCACCATGTATCAATACGTTACAAAGGTTCACGTACTTTTACGTTTATAATTTCCGAGTCCCTTCCTGTATGATATCTGCAATTAGTAACGAGACAATCCTTACATTATGTTATATATTTATCTTAATTATGGAGAACATGGGATAAACATAATGGTTTATTCAATATAAAAAAATAAATGGGAGTTTCACAATTTGATGTTAACATCACTTATGTTATATACTACTTAGGGCTGAACTAGACTGTTAAAAATGTGGAAAAATTTAAAGGTGTATATTTCGTAACACCTTGATCTCATAAATTATAAAATTCTTATTATAATTATGTCACCCAGGATTGAATGCTTTTATTTTTTATACATCTTTATTCTATTTATCTTTTATTTATTTTGGCAAATCTTGTTGCTAAGTTGTGACTGGTGTTTTGATGTTGATGCCTCATGATCATCTATTGATCTTTTATTGTTGACCTTTTGTTGTTAATGATCACTTGGTGACCGTTATAATTGATCTATCATCATTATCATCATCATCATCAGCAGCAGCAGCAGCAGCAGCATCATCATCATCATCATAATCATCATCATCTTCTTCTTCTTCTTCTTCTTCTTCATCATCATCATCATCATCATCATCATCATCATCATCATCATCATCATCATCGTCATCGTCATCGTCATCATCATCATCATCATCATTATTATTCCTAAATTAGAAATAAAATATACGGACATGAAAATGATATATATTGTAGCAGCGAGGAGTTTTGTGAAACATTTTCAACATTTGCCACCGTACCTTCACAACAACCGTCAACAGTTTTAAGTCATTGTTTGAAACCCAGTCATAAATCCTTATCACAAATATATGATATAGATGTATCTTCATTTGATATCAATTTAAATTATAGGCTAATGGTGTATGGATGATGTAGGATTTTGTTAACAACTTCATGACGTCGTACAGAAAACGTGAAGTGTCTTGTTTATAATACGCTAGGTCGGCTGCCGAAATTGAGCAGACGATAAACATGGCCGAGGACAGCCAGTTAATATTCAGAAGTATGTATTTATAATTATACATGTATATTTTCATTTGAACCAAAGACTGGACAAATCAGTCATAAATCGCACATTATAAGCAAACTATTACTTGAATCTTGAAACTTTTCACTTTTCCTTACATCTTAGTAATTTTTTCTCAAATTTGATTTTATTGAAATATTTTGACTCATCTGGAGGCATGTAGCTTTAACAAGTGATAGTCTGAGAGCTACCCCACCTAAAGCGACTCTGTTTATAGCCGGGTTGCATAATCTGTAAACTATTTATAAAACATCAAAATTTTCATAAATAAAATCTACATGTTTTATAAATATAAAAAACAAAATATGCATGCATGTTTTAAACTATAATTAAAGTTTCAAGTAAAATAATAGGCTTATTTAGAAATCTCATGTATTTGTAGGAGATTAGGAAAGATCTAAATTTATCATACCTGGTCTTCACTATATTATTTACAGCTACATAACTCCAGATGAGCCAAAACAAACAAAAATAACCTTAAGAAATATGAACATGTACTTGGTAGATTTTATAAAAAGTAAAATATTTACAATTCATGTAATAATTTACATTATACATGCAATGGAGATCTGACTTTGTATTATTATCATTATATTCCTACTTCGTGACCAACGCAGTAAGAACGCTGTTTTTGCATATTCTGACATTTATTTGTAATTTACGCGGATTGACAGTGCCTTTCTTTGTTCTTTTGAAAATATTTTACTTTTTGATACTTTTCATGAAATTTATCATTGAAACATTCTGCTATAAGGGCATTGTCATGTTTGTACATTTTTGTATTTTGGTCGCTTAAAGTTTGCAGATTTATTCAAGTTTGATGTTTAATGGTTGCAGGAACATGTGAGGTATTTGAGTTGAGGACATGTAGAAACGTCACGATCCTGAATCAAAGGTTTATGGACCCGTGTGATTGTCAAAACTATTACCAATGTAGTAATAATTATGAAATGCTTCATCAAACATGCGCCGAAGGGACAGCCTGGGACTCTGAGAAGTGTATACATTCCGAAGATGTTTTTTTTAACCAGAATTGTTCACCTTCCAATGTGTGGACTAGATGCAATGTCACAGGTATACACTTCTTATATCACTCATTCTCTGAACTCTTTGAACATAAAATATATATTAAAATACATCATGAGGATCAATAAATTGTAACTATGTCATTATGCTATACTATTTTATCATGCAAGTACAATGGTTAACTTAGTAGTTAGTGGAAATTGATTCAGTGGAGTTTGTTATCTACATGATGTCACGCTGTATTTTCACGTGCCATATTATTATTATTATTATTATTATTATTATCATCATTATTATTATCATTATTATTATTATTATTATTATCATTATTATTATCATTATTATTATTATTATTATCATTATTATTATTGAGATTGAGCTAATAATGGCCCTTTGTTTTTTTTCCCTTATGTAGAATATATAGTGAACAATTTCTTCTGTGCGCAACTCCTCCTACATTTCTCAACGGATTTTGACGAAACATTCACAGAAGTTTTTTTCATAAATTGTCCTGACGCATAATGTCTGGGTTTTGTGATTCCATATTTTTTTACCTAATTATGGCTCATTGGTTTTTCCTTAAATGAAATATATAGTAAACAATTTCATCTGTTCTTTTCAAGGGATTTTGACAAAACTTTCATAGATGCTTTGTCATCAAGTCCGTCCGGGTTTTGTGATTCAATAATTTTTTACCTTATTATCGCCCTTTGTGTTTTTTTTCTTATATGGCATTATATTGAACAATATTTCTATGCAAAACTCCCCCTATATTTTCAAGGGATTTTGACCAAACTTTTACAGAAAATTTGTCACGCGCATATTGTAGCAGTTTATGATTCCATATGGTTTGATCCAATAATTAATGACCCTTTGTGTTTTTTTCATAAATGTATTATATAGTGTAATATTCTTTTAATCACAATTACTATATTTAATCCAACTTTATATAGTTATTGAATGGAATCCATATGTCTTTTCACATAGTGTTCTGGCCCTATAAAATTCTGACCCAAATTTTTAGTGTTTTACGATTTAAACAGATTTTACAGAGTTATGGCCCTTGAAAACCTGGTTTCCTCGCATTGCGATCATACTTGTTGTTATTATTATTATTATTACTTGTTATTATTATTATTATTATTTTGTTCCTTGTTAAGGGCCTAATGGAAGATTGATATGTTGTTCAAATGAGTTCTCTTGTTAAATGAAGTCTTTATTATTATTATTATTATTATTATTATTTTGTTGTTGTTGTTGTTGCTGTTCTCGAATTATTGTCCGGCTAATTGGGCATCAATCTTATATAAACATATGTGTGTTGTGTTGTTTTTGTTTAAGAATCGCGCCTGCTTGAACTTCAGTCAATCTGCACAAATTCAACAACGACCACGCCGACTGTAACACCATCCAGTCAGCGCACTCCAAGTTCAGACAGTAAAGTTTCCGGTAATACCAGTCCCGGTGTTATAGTTGGATCCATTATAGGTGGCGCTGTTATAGCGGTAATAATTCTAATAGCAGCGTTCTGTCTTTATAAAAGGAGAAAACAAAAAAATAGGTATGTAAATTTAATGATATAATATACTTAATATGACATATCATCAGGTCTTATTTCCATTTTGTCCCCATTTCCATTTGTTCTAATTTGCATTTTCTCGGAAATAACTTTTTTTCTCTTTTTCATCTTTATGTCTTATATTTAAAGGATCTCCACTGAGGCCCAAATGCCTAAACACATTGAATTTGAATTTCCTATATAGATCAACTGGGATACTTTATACAGAATGATATGCAAAATGTAATTAAAAGATATTCTCAAAATCAAATTGAAAACATATTTTTGTGATATTTTTATCCAAATTTGTGCGAAAAGCGTTGCAACTCGTTTCAATTTTGGGTCATTATAGAATAATTCTCCGGAAAAATACAACGGAGTCAGCGAATGATCTGGAATTTTACACACAAATTATTGGTCTAGACCATCATATGAAACATTAATCTCCAAAATATATTTCCAGTCATGTCAAAAACCTCAGTGGAGTCCCTTTAAAATATACCAATGAGAAAATTAAAAACTTCAAATGTAAAATTATCACTGCTTATATGTAAAATACCGCACATGTCACAATACAACAAATATACAGTCAAACACTTGCAAACAACAACAAACGTTCCTATTTTGTTCTATAGTTCTATAGTTTTATCATGTAATATTCGTTATATTCAAGGTGTCTTTTTTTCAAATGCATTTTCGTAAGGAAATACTTTTTACCTGACAAAATACTTAAAAGACCTGTGATTAGGGTATGTAACACCGCACATTGGGGTCCAATTTTGACCCCAAAGTGCGTTAAACAGGTACATATGCATTTTTTAACATCAGACAAACGACCGCACTTTGGGGTCATAAAAAGTCAATCAATAAAAATGAATGTTCATGATGTTTTAAAATTTAAATGATATACATGTATTGTAATCAAAATGGTAAACAAAAGTCAAGGTATTAAATAGACGCAAAACATGTGCTCTGAATTATAGTATAATCAAAGGGATTTTAAATTATCTTGATCACAGTTATTGAAGAACTTTCATCAAATAAAGAATTTGTTTCAATCAATAATTCTCACATTTTCCATTTATTTTAAAAGAATGTACACCTTTCACTAACTCCATTGTTTTTACACATTTTATAGAAATATGAGAGTCTTAGCAAAGACAAAGGTATAATCCTTGATGTGACTTAATATACTAACAAATCTAAATAAGACATTTCAGTAAAAAATTGTGCCCGATAAAATGTTGAAAAGTATTTAGCTTATCTATATGTGATATAAATATTTAAACAATATACGGGAAATCTAAATAAGCCATTTCAGTAAAAAATTGTGCCCGATAAAATGTTGAAAAGACCATCTATTTAGCTTATCTATATGTGACATTTAAGAAACTTGACTAGGTGTAGATGCGGCCTTAAGTATAGTAGTAGTAGTAGTCCGTGCAAGAGTAAAACTTTGTTAGTATATTAAGTCACATCAAGGAACATCATAAACTTGTAAAGTTCTCATTGAGGGGTCTAGAATGGATGGTGAGGTGTCAATCGCCTCGAGATTATAAAATTAACGTTTTAAAGGCCCATTATGCTTTTATTTGTATTTCTTAAAAGCTTTTTAAGTTTGGTGTACTTCTATAGTATCCAAAAAGTTACTCATTGGCCAATTACCTGAACCATCTTTTCCATCTGCTGTTTTTTTTTTTTTTGGCAATGAGTAGAGTTATAATGAATAAGTATTTTATATGGAAGTACAATTCTACATTGTTTACATTTTGTTACTTTTATGACAAATTATTTCACATTTATCGTTAAATTATTCAGGTAACAAGCATCTTACATTTCTCTGATACCATTATTTAAACATTATAAAATTCATGTTTGCCCTTTGTAAAGAAGTATGTAAGATTTCCCATTTAAAAAGCCTCTGGCGAACGGTTGTTACGAAACTTACAAACAAACTTAAGTTTGTTGATAAGCTTAATAATGTATTTGTAAAAATCACTATCGAGAAACTTGATATTTCACCAGAACATTGAAATAGAGTATATTTATAGTTCTTTGGAAAAAATATTAACTGCATTTTATTTAATTGCATCATATTTAAATAATATCAAGGTATTAAATAGACGCAAAACATGTGCCCTGCATGAATTATAGAAGAATCAATAGGGATTTTAAATGACCTTGATCAGTTAGTGAAGAACTTTCATACTTAAAATGGGGCTCAATGTGGCACCAAAAGTTATCAAGTAAATGACTGACAGAACATGATATTTTTCGCAGCATCTTTTAATTTTAGGAATTCATTCACAATTTAAGTACTAGAGTACTTTGTTATATGGACACAATTTTCAGAGTGGTAAAATTAATGTAACTTTTATCACTTAAGCATCAAACAAAGTATCGACCGTCATCTTGAACTCCTTCTTAAATATTTCAACGGTTAAGGTCGAAAATAAGTCAGTACTTAGTATCCAAGCAGTACTCAGTTGACACCTTCAGAACTCTGGAACCCAAAGTGCGTTAATATATAGCAAAGTGCGTTTGACCCCAAAGTGCGGTGTTACACGGGTACTTTTTCTGCTTAACATTTGCTACATACTATTGTTATGCGCTAAATTTGTAGTTCTACTGAAGGTGGATTGAATTACAACACAATGTTCCGTTTTATGTTTTAATGTTTCTTTCTTGGTGGAATACCACAGATAATATATAACATATACACAGGCTATCCTGATGTTTACAAATTAATATTAAAAACAGTAACAAATATTGCTAGTGGAAAGCCACAATACAATGTAATCACTTGGAAATCCAAAATCTAACTGACCCTAAATTTTCTACATGTATCTTTACAATATTTCTAAAATTGATTTCGTTTTAAACTGACCAATAGAATTTTAACATTTTTGTGTCTTAAACAAAATCACCAATCAGGTTTCAATACAAAATAATGTAACATAGCAACATAGAATTTATAACAACAATCATCACCTGGATATTTTATCAGTCATAGGGCTTAACAACATGATAAGTACAGACAGCTTAATTGACCTTATCACCTATATATTATAAAACTTTTAGCACAGTTGATTGAACAAAGAGGAAAAGTCGCATTTTAATCTTCCAGTTACATAATTTTAAATTTGACATCTGTTTTAGAAACATATACTATTTGTAACTTAACATATTTGAAATTTCACAAATTTTGTTTTGAAAATATGACCTTTTAGAAAATGATTATATATATAAATATTTGTGTTTAAAAGAAAATCATCATGCATATTTATTCATTTTTTTTTTTGTAAATGAATTGTATCATTATTCGGCTGCACAACACTCAGTTACATTATTTTAAATTTGACATCTGTTTTAGAAACATATACTATTTGTAACTTAACATATTTGAAATTTCACAAATTTTGTTTTGAAAATATGACCTTTTAGAAAATGATTATATATATAAATATTTGTGTTTAAAAGAAAATCATCATGCATATTTATTCATTTTTTTTTTTTGTAAATGAATTTTATCATTATTCGGCTGCACAACACTATTATAATTGTCGAAGAAATAATTTATTTACAGCCAGGGCCAAAAAACCCTTTTTTGTAGAGGCCGAATAAAGGCTGCTTCCCCAACCAAACTAGCCTCTTTTTTCCGCAGTTAGGTCCTCAAAATTCCCCAGTCTTTTGAAATTTCCCATATAATTTAAAACAAAATTAAATGATGGTGTTGAATTAAGGTCTTTTACTGCCTTATTAGTATTTCCCAGTGCTTTTTGCTTTTCTATTTTGAAGAACTTGTTATAAGTTTGTGTTAAATTTGAGACCCCTTTTCCCAAAGTATGCCAAAATCACGCATATTTTCCCCAAGAAAAAGGCTGAGGCCCCTTCCCCAAAAATGGTGTTTTGGCCATGACAGCCGAATCCTTCATGCTTCTTGCAGCACCATAATTATAATTATAATGTTACATGGCATGGCGACATTGATGGCAACGTAACACTGAATATGTCAACAAATATCGACTCAGGTTAAATAATCAATAAACTTAACACCGGCCATGTCAGTAAACAACCGTCACGTTAATTACTGAACAGCGATCATGTTACTAAACACCGAACAAATCAATAGACACCGGTTATGTAAATAACAACGACCATGTTAATAAACTAAACACTGGCCATGTCAATGAACACCGGTTACGTCAATTACTATAAACACCGGTCATGTCAATAAACACCGGCCATATCAATAAACACCGGTCATGTCAATAAACACCGGTCATGTCAATAAACACCGGCCATATCAATAAACACCGGTCATGTCAATAAACACCGGCCATATCAATAAACACCGGTCATGTCAATAAACACCGGCCATGTCAATAAACACCGGTCATGTCAACAAACACCGGTCATGTCAATAAACACCGGTCATGTCAATAAACACCGGCCATGTCAATAAACATCGGTCATGTCAATAAACACCGGTCATGTCAATAAACACCGGTCATGTCAATAAACATCGGTCATGTCAATAAACACCGGTCATGTCAATAAACACCGGTCATGTCAATAAACACCGGTCATGTCCATTACTAAACAACGACCATGTTAAAAAACTTAACACCGGCCTTGTCAAACACCGGTTATGTCAATTAAGGAACATCGGTAATATCAATCCAGCAGCACATAATTATCTTGATCATAATCACAATACTATGATAAAGCCTTTCCGTCAGTCTTCTTATGAATAATAGCCGAGTCGTTCCGATTGAATACTATGTAGAATAAACGTAATGTTTATTCTACATAGTATTCAATCGGAACTTATAGTTCTTATAAGTTGATCTATGTTATATAGATCAATCACATTTGGCTCGGCTTTGCCTTATTAAAATTGTTCAAAAATTAAAGTCAGACTCAGTTTATACTTTTTTGATTGGCATGTTATCATTCTTTAATATTTGGAAAATTGGTATTTATTTTAGCATTGACAAGAAAAGAGGTGGAACGAATGCTCATAATCCTGAATATTTTGAAGGTGGTCACCTGGACGACCCATACGCTGTTATAAATGACGCCCACGTGACACACGATGCGCAGATGGTAAGATATGTTTGTTTAAACTAACACAAGCTTTTCTTATCTAATAATATGGTTTTAAAATTTGAAACATTGAAATTACCTTAATTTTTTAGGTATATTATATAACCTTGTACTTTCAAGAGATACATTTCAATGCGATAGTAAAATAAAGTCATGGAAGAGCCTTGTTAAAAAAACACATTGTCTCATAACATACTATCTAATACAGCTTTGAAGTTGTGATCAAATAGACAAGTAAACATTAATTTCTTATACATACTAACATATGTAAGCACTATTTTGGTATCATTTAAAGCAGCACATCAAGACTTGGTAAGGTAAATGAAAGCTACCGCCCTCGCCACCTAGTATACACCGTGAAACATGAAATTTCCACCCCGTTGAAAATTGACCACATAGGTCATTTTTCAATATTGAAAACTGAACCTTGGTCATTTTTCAACGTTGAGAATTGAAATGCCAAGAATTCAACATTAAAATGTTGATAAAAAAAGTCTGCATAAAGTAGCGTTAAATGTACAATAATATGTTGTTAAGGTTGCAAAATATAAACAAAGTAATATTTTGGCTTCCATACAAATTATTAATTCACTATAATTATAAATACTGTATATTTTTGTAACAAGATATCAAGGAAAAACGTTTAGAAAAATGAAATGACAGCATATCATTGCACAATTGTTGTCTTGCAGAACACTTTATTATTTCAAGGCGTGTAGATAAACTTGTAAAACGGTTTTCAAAGATGACATTATTCGGTTTGGTGACTTTCATTCAAGTTTGTATGAAATGATTTGTGTTGAATCATATACATTTATACAAAGGAATCGATGCTGACAACGAGTTGCTTTAAACATAAGCTGCTTTGTCGTTGAACTACTTTTTTTTATTAAACTATTATCTCTTTTAATATCACAGTCTGACCCCACATATAACGGTTCAGCATTAGGATTAGGAGGGACGATGAGTCAACAAAGTGGAGTTTTCACAAACGCTGGATTTGATGAAACCGCTGAAGAAACCGTGTATGACAATTCTAGAGCACCAGTTGTCCGAGACGGATATACAAGCACCTTACGCCGCTCTGCATTAGGAGGGACGATGAGTCAACAAAGTGGAATTTTCACAAACGCTGGATTTGATGGAACCGCTGAAGAAACCGTGTATGACAATTCTAGAGCACCAGTTGTCCGAGACGGATATACAAGCACCTTACGCCGCTCTGATCGCGAATATGAAACCCCTTTTCGAGCCCAATCAAGTAATGAATATATAGAGTTCGGTGGAATCCAGACTGATGAGATGTCTGATAATCGGACGGATCTAAATGGGAACCAAGCAAAGATGCTTGAACATGCCACCGCTGCATCGGGTACAAACGTTGATAATACAGAAAATTCCCCGCATGATTATTATACCTTAACAGAGGAGGACCACAAATTGTAAAACTTGTGAAATACTATGCTTGAAAACATGCAATGGTAATATTATGTTATAGATATAAAAACAGTGTAAATATGCTTTTAGTGTCAGCATACTGTGTGTATTCAAAAATGTTTAGTTATTGCCGAACATGGCCTTCAATATTGTGTACGTTTAATCAGTTAATGTGTTGTATTTGTGACATCACCAGGTGTCTAAACAGCTCTGTATACAGTAATGATACACTTTTATGTGTCTGAAGTTCATAAACTACAAGTGTTACTATTATAATGGGTGAAGAGCTTTGTAAAATATAAATTAAAAAGCAGCCTGCATTGATAATAACGTCTTTACCGGAACAGAATAACTCAAACTCCAACGTTTAGTAGATATTCTTTTATGCTATTCCTATAAAACTGTGCTTTTTTGTTGTGATATTTTAGAATGAGATTATAATAAAATTGTATTTCAATGCTTTTGTAGATCTTTCTCAAAACATTTTAATGAACATTCAACGTATATTCAAAATGCCTGATTACTTGGCCTCACTACCATCTCATGATATTTTGTCCCTCTTCGACTGTATGTCCCCGTTCAACTGTATGTCACCTGTTCAACTGTCTGTCCCCGTTCGACGGTATGTCCCCCGTTTGACTATTCGTTCCTGTTCGACAGTTAGTTTCTTCTCCTGAAAATCTCGACTGTATGTCCTGTTAGAACTATAATCTCCTGTTTTACTGTACGTTCCCAGTTCGACTGTACGTTCTTGATCAACTTTGGTCCCCCTGTTTAATAGTACATCATCTTTGTTTAGCTGTATGTCTCTGTTCCGCTATTGACTGTACATATAAGCCCCTATCCGAGTATATGTCATTGTTTGACTGCATGTCCCTGTTCGACTACATACGTCCCTTTTTGACTGTATATTTCTGTCCGACTTTTATTACGGAATCCTTTGTTATACATAACTGCTAACAATATGAACATTACTTTTTCATACACATGTGCACGTAATACATTTATTTCAAATGATTCAATGCCAAGAGTGAGACGAAAAAACTTTTGCAGTTGCAAATTCGATTTACCTTTTCTTCTGCATCAAAATATGCCAACTGTTGCATGGTTGTTGATAAATTACTGAAATAAAAGATGTCGTGGCCAAACTGTTTGAATGTTGAAAATAATTAATTTGTATGATAAAGAAACAAAGTAGACATCGTCAGTAAGTATAAATGCATATAAAAACATTAAGAAAAGTTTCAGATAAAAAAGAAAACGTTTTGTGTTTGTTTTGTAATGTAAAAGTTTTACATGCTGAGAAGCAATGGAGAAAAATGGCCGTTTGTTGTCGGTAAGTTTATAAGTATACAATGTATTTTACTTTATGTTTTACTGGAAACACCTAGTGAGACAAGAGCCCACATATGTATTCTTCCTCTGGGAAGAGCTTAATCTAATGTTTTAAGAACTTGTAGCCCAACCCATTTGCATTTTGATATATACTCATTATTTGTATGATATGTTTGTAAACATGTAATTAAAGTGACATTATGCCCATCCGTGGGTAGATATAGAGTGAACAGTTCATAATTCCTTTCAATTTTTATAATTTACTTCACATGAACGATAAATAACTCACTAGGTCCTGTGAAATGTGTGTAATTATCCGTCGGAATGTATCTAACTTTCAATTAATAAAAATAGTGGGGCAGTCTTTTATATATTAACTAGGTATATTTATTTTTTTACCCTTAACTTTTCCAAATATCATGTGTTGGTCAACCACCATTATAACAACCAGTTTGTTGAAATATACAGTCAATTAAAGTCAATTTGACATTGAAAAAATGAGCATAATGTCACTTTAATGCAATAAAATATGTTTAAACTAATATGTATTCTTCCAACTTATTATACGCACATGGTCCAATTCAATTTGCTATTTATGCAAACACTTCTGAACAGTTTGACGAAAGGACGCCACTTTTGCCTTTAATTAAAACACGTACAGTCGTGTGAAAAACGACCCCTAAATACATCGGCATAACATTTAAGTTTTAAGTTTAATAATATTTCATTGCATATATATAAATATACATTAATTATTTTACATCAATATAATTACACAATATATACATGTACAAAAGGGTTGGGCGAAAAGTTTCAAAATATGGCATTATGGAAGTGGCATCATTCATACGATGCATTTATTGTTTTGCACGATAAAGTCTAGCAGTTATTTATATTCCATATAAGCGCGATAAAATATTTAAACGAAGCGCGATAAAATATTTAAACGAAAGGTGTATGAATTAAAATATGGAAAATAATAAGGTTTTATATATGTACACATGTAGTATTTCAAAAGGCTTCCTGCTATGGACCATCTTATTTATCATGAATTTTGATTGACCAATCAGTCACAGAATGTTACGTATCAAGTTATTATGTTTCGAAATTACAGTAAATAAATCCAAAGGAATATGAAAATGTTGCCTATATATAGTGTTAGCCTTTAATCGTAACATATGTGCATGTTCTGACGGACGTAATCTGTATTTTATAAATGCTGGCTTATTGAATATGCTTATATCACAATTTATCGGATGTAGTTTTTTCTAGCGCATGCGCAACCTACTTAAAGTTAAAGGATTGTTACCCTACACAAAAATATATGACACTGCAAAAGTTCTGTTTCATGTGAATGCTTTCATTAAAGCGCGTTGTGCCCTAGCTAGACAGTGCCCGAGCCCTAAAAATTGAAAATTTGGGAAATAATATTTTTAGATATCCACCACGCAATTCCGTCATACTTGAAACTCATTGAGATAGATCTTTGTAAATAAGTCTTGATGAATTTATAAGCGAGAAAAAATTATAACTTGTGTACTTAAAAATCAGCAAAATATTTAAATAATGGTCATATCATTATAAAATGACTTATACGTCATTTTGTTGCTATAGAGTGGCTTCGAATTTTGCTATGTGTTAAGTCTAAGGGACAAAACTCTTGCTTTACTGTTGAATTTCATAATTTTGCAAAGGGAGACAAATCCGCCGGTCTTATACGATACTTTTCAAGGGAGATTACTCTGTTGGTTTTAACTGTGGTCCGTATTCTAAGAAATCAAATGATTGGTTCACGGATCATTGATTCTAAGCCATTTTTATTTCATGTAATTTCTTGGTGGAAAAAGATTACGTTGGCATTGAGGTGACATTTGCAGTTTTATTTGATCTCGTGGCCACGACTAATTATCTTCAGGCCTCAAGATATTATCTCGTGGCCACGAGTTATTATCTTGTGGCAACGACTTATTATCTCGTGGCCACGAGTTATTATCTTGTGGCCACGACTTATTATCTTGTGGCCACGACTTATTATCTCGTGGCCTCAAGATATTATCTCGTGGCCACGACTTATCATCTCGTGGCCACGACTTATTATCTTGTGGCCTCAATGTATTATCTCGTGGTCACGAGTTATTATCTTGTGGCCACGACTTATTATTTCGTGGCCACGACTTATTATCTTGTGGCCACGACTTATTACAGCCAATTGAAATGGTCGTTTCATCTTGATCACAACGACCGTATATCACACTGGCCAAAGTGTCACAAGAGCGGCGGATCAAACGCTGCAGCGGTGAATATGGGGGACGTTTTATAGTTATTAGTGTACCCCTTTTTTCTCATTTGTATGGTCAGGTGTTTCTTTCATTCATCTTTTAAGATATACTTTGCTTAAATTTGATATCAGAAAATATTGATAATTGTTACACTGTCTACACTGTCTCTTTGTAAACATAAAATAAACATGTTTCGACTTCACAGAAAGTAGACGTGTTATGTTTAAAATGGTGGTCACCATGAATATATATAGTGTCAGTTTTTTTTAAGAAAAGATCAACTTCCGGTACATAGTTTATTGATTCCTTTATTCAAGTTAAACACATTAAGTTAGAATTTAAAAGATTTAAATAAATTTCTGTGGTTAAAATATTTTACTCAAGGATCAGCACAGTATATCTTTAAAAGATCTAATTAATATAAAAAGATATATAACTCAAGGATGAGCACAGTATATCTATAGGATTTAATTAAGAAATATAAGCGGTTGATGTATACTTTTAAGGTCGCTCATTCAATAACTTGCACCATTTCCCTGTGGATTCGAATCACGTGAAAGACGATAATTATTATATTGAAGATATATCACGATGTCTTAATGATAAATGGCTAGCTTTGATGTGCTTTCTGAGTCTCTTTCTTTTTTGTTATCAAAAGTGACGTATAAATGTTTCAAAGACCAATGTCAATTCTTTTAAGATCTCCTTTTTGATTGCTACTAGTTGCTATTGCTCTGCTACTGTTACTACCAATTTTACGTTTATAATTTTGCTACTGTTACAGCTGTGCTTCTGCCAACTTCATGTTTTATAATTGTGTTACTGCTACTGTTCACTGCTACTGCTAACTTCCTACCGGTGATTATCACTTATAAAAGTGAGTGTATTTTATGAAAAACTGCATCTATATAAACTTGATCCTTTAACGTTAGGACTATTAGATAAGAATACAGAGAACAAATAAGTGATGACAAGACTCTAATCAGTCGATGTGTTACTGGGATATATACAGTTTATAGCGATACAAACTGACAAGCCCTTACTGAAATTCAGCACATCTCTGGGTAAATGCGTAGGAAACTACTAAAGTGAATCTACGGTGGTGCGTTTGACCTGCCCCTCATGTGAAAGTTAATGTCAGTGTGATATTAACTTTTGTTCGAGATGAAACGACCATTTTCATTGGCTGAAATAAGTCGTGGCCATCAGATAATAATTCGTAGTCACGATATAATAAGTCGTGGCCACAAGATAATAACTCGTGGCCACGAGATAATAAGTCGTGGTCTCAAGATAATAACTCGATCGTGGCCATGAGATAATAAGTCGTGGCCACAAGATAATAACTCGTGGCCACGAGATAATAAGTCGTGGCCACAAGATAATAAGTCGTGGCCACAAGATAATATCTTGAGGCCACGAGATAATAAGTCGTGGCCAAAAGATAATAAGTCGTGGCCACAAAATAATAACTCGTGGCCACGAGATAATATCTTGAGGCCACAAGATAATAAATCGTGGCCACGAGATAATAAGTCGTTGCCACGAGATAATATCTTGAGGCCTCAATATAATATGTCGTGGCCACAAGATAAAATAAAACTGCAAATGTCACCTCTATGCCAAAAGTCATTGTGTCTTTGTTGTTGTGTAGAAGAGATTTTAGAAAATTAGTGTTTGATGGTCAAGTTCTTTATTTCTTAAGTTATTAACAGTCACTGGTGTTAGATGTGTGTTGTTTTGTGTAACAACCTTAATTCAAGATGGATCAGTACAGTATATAAACATGATAGAACTTTAGAGCTGTTGTTGAATTAATTTAACAATCCCGAAATTACTTGGC